GTTTTTGCATTATGTTGTCATCCCCCCTCCTTCCTACATGTACCCCTTCTCTCAAATGCAAGAGGGATAAGTCGAAGGCATCCTTAGTCCAAGGATATTTCACTTCGTTTTCTGAATTGAGTAATAAATGAAGTCCTCTGAATGAAGGATGAGTCAAATGGACCAATGGCTTTGGAGAACCAGAGACATCATTAAACTAAATGCACTTATCTGTTTTTAAGAGACCCAGAAAGACATACAGCAACTGAAGCATTCAGATAATCTAATCCCCATGCCAGAGACCAGCTTTGGGATCAATAAATGTTCGGTCTAAGTAACACATAGAAAACAATTTAATTACACTCAAAGACAAGAATTTGGAGACGATCCAGTTAGAAACATGCCAAGAATAAATAGGGATAATAACTTGTAAATAATATAATTGTATAATACATGTATCGATTTTAATAATGATTATGCAATGTCTGCATTCATTTTATTTTTATCAAAGTAAGATTTTATGTTACCACATCGTTATAGCCATTTTTGTGAACGGCATACATTTTTCTCACCAATGACATTACATTTTCGTAACCAATAACTAACCAGATGGTGATTGCCTCAGTCATTCAAAACATGCATTCAAAATATAAGAGATTGAATTGTATTTATTATTATTATGCACCTCATTAAAATACTCAAATCTGATTGGTTCTTAGTTGCTTGTAATTTGGCAATACTCTGCTCTTTTCTGAAAACTGACGGATATTTTTTTACTATCTGACCTTTTCGAGAAAAAGGGTCGGATATTTTTTTCAATGTTTTTGCAACATTCCCACTTCAGAGTTTTATTTCTTAATAACTGGAGTACTACTTAAAGCTTACTTCTGAAACTGGCGGAAAATAGAAGAAAAAAATGCACTTAATCAATCACAATTACCCTTATCATTCAAAAGTTACATATAATTCTGCAAGAACGTCTCAAATAAATAAAAATTAAATTCCCGGGGCAAATACTTTCGTCCAGCGTAGCGAATAAACTGGCCGGAAGTCGTTTTGAAAGAAAAAATAAATAAATGTCAAAATAATGTCAACTAAACGACAGTTTAAGCCTGTACTCCAGTAAGTACTCCACTTAACTTTGATTGGGAGGTGCATAATAAAACAAATACTGGATGATCAGGAGCTGGATATGGCCAGAATACCTATCCTCGAAAAAATATTGGGCTCGGCTGCCGCCTCGCCCAATATTTTTTCTCGAATAGGTATTCTGCCATATCCAGCTCCTGATCATCCAGTATTTGTTTAATATTATGTCTGAGTGTCTTTTTTGTCATCACCACCAAAAAGAAGTCGTGACATAATATTATATTATCTTGATCATCATTTATTTTTGATTCTGGGCATTTTATGTACGTTTGTCTGAATTGAAATGTAAGCGTAAAAATTGAAGTTTAAATCTATTTAAGTTGATACGTTTCAGGCCCATAGCCAGCTTTTGCAAAGGGGGATTCACTTCTTCGAAAATTCATTGGGAGGCTCCATTTTGATATCTTTGGCCCAAAATGGCAAAAAAACCACTTGAAAATTGCTCAGAATGGTGAAAACTGCATGATTTTGAACAATCTTTGGCCAGGGTGGGTTTTTTAAATTATTAATAAAAATTAAGTTAAGTATGAAGTATCACCTCTCAGTCCTGTTTAAGCCCTTGTATATAAGTAACACTCTAGGTATCAAAGAAAATGATGTTATGATATAAGTATGGCTATTAATCACCTGTACATGCTAAAGTATATCTACTTATTAATCACAAAAAATTAGTAGAACTCAAATCTTATTACTGGATCATCTAATTAATACACCAAAATGTTAAAGAATGGTCATTGAGAAAATTAGCCCCAAACCTCAATATCCACCGAGTACAGGGCTTCAGATGCATGAAAGTGTTCGTTTCAACAGGTTCACATTTCAAGGTTTTTTCAAATTGAGAGGTGTTCAGATTAGAGAGCTGATCGGATAAACAGGTTTCACTGTATAAGGTATGCTTTCCATGATCTGGACTGAATATAGTCGTAGCACTATGTTGTTCAATAGCTATGGTCATTGCATTCTGATATTAACCAGTATAGTGTATGGTTTATGTTGTGATTAACATCCCATGTTAATTGCCCAGTAGAAATAAACACATTCCATCCATGAAGAGCAGACATTACTTCTAGTCCAAAAGATGCAATTGCTTCCTCTCCGTATCACAAATGGATGAATTTTTTTGACACATGGGAGAATTTAAGTAGTTTGTTTCTCACTTCAAAATTGGATCTTATTTTTGTAGCGAATAACACTGGTGTCGATGTTGCTGTGTTAATCATTTTTTGGCTTTTTTACAGATGGTTCAATTGATATGTTGATAGTATGTCACTGTGACCTTTGCCATGCCTGTTGGGTGACTGTTAAAACCTGATTGACTATATATAAAAAAACTGGGTGATAGGTTATGCCGACTTGAAGTCTTCAGTATGAGGTGTCAATTTTGAAAAACAGAACTTGAGAGTATTTCAGGCAGTTGCTTCCTCTCTGTATCAAAATTGGCTGAATGAATGTTTTTGACTCTCGAGGGAACTCATAATTAGTTTGTGGCTTTTCATTGTATAACAGTATACTATATGGGCCTATATGGAGGAGGGGGATTTGGAAGATAACTGGGAAGTAGTTCAACCTCTTTGCACTCATCTATAATGCTTATAGTCCGAGGTATTACTCTTGAACTGAAGAATCTGAAGCTTGCAATTAGTCTCAGCGACTAATACTTACAATTACCTTGCAATGCAATTAGCACATTATGCCAATTTCATTCTATATGGAGAAATCAGAGTTCTGCATTGTTTTCTGTATAAATGTGAAATCTTAATATTCTGCAAGTATATTTAGTCATCTAACCTAGATGTCATCTTATTGTTTCATTTTGAGAAAACCTCTAAATCAAGTAGGATTGCCTCAGGGATCGAAACTCGATATTTTCCAACAATGAAAACGTCGAAATGTCAATATTTGATTAAAGCTGACTATAAATTCAAAATAAACAATTGGAATATATTTTGTTCGGAAATTAATCCGAAATTCAGGATTCAAATGTTGAAGTGAACAAAATGGCGGCTGTTTGAATTCGAATTTTGTATCACGACATGCTCATGTATGGCACAGAATATCGATGTTGCACTCTGGGAGCCAATCCTTCTTGCTCTAACTGGAAGACTTTTCAAAATCCTGAGACCTAGTTATAATTTAGCCTTTATAAGTGAACACTGTCCCATAACCAAGAGTGTTCTAATAACACAGTAATATGGCTAGATCATGATTTTTATCAAGCAAATACTGATGCCCTTAAAATCAAATGCATTTATCATGAACAACCTTTTGGTAAATGATCAGTAAAATTCACTTTGAAGAAATCAATGTTATAATGATGTCAGAGTGGTATCCAGTGATTGCTGCTTTGTACTTTGTACTTCAAACAGATTTCGATGCAGTGACATCCTTGTCTTGATCTCATCCTATTAAGGATCAACTTTTTTTGTTAACTGAGTGGCGCGTTGGCATTTTTGTTTTGTTCACATCATATCAAAGATGTGATTGTTCAACACCAACTGGGTTTCCAAATTTTGTAAACCTGCATCCGGTTCCTGTTTACTTGTTTGGAACTGACTTTGACAGGTTCATTTGTTTTTAAAGAATTTTTCAGTAAAAAGTTTCATGTGTTTTGATTTTTTAGTCTCATTGCGTAAAAAGATCCAGATATACCTCATGTTTTTCATTAACATTTATTCTAAACAAGGTAATAGAACAGATGCCAGTTGAATTAAATCAGTTTTTAGGTCAATTATTGGCCATATATCTGTCTGAATGAACGTCAAAATGGTACCTCTGTAAACTTACCTTTTATTTTATTTTCTTCTGACATCAATAAGATTAAATTAGGTGAATGAATAAATTGAACAAGAGACTCTTCTATAGAGCATAGAATTGGAGTGAAGAAAGATAGTAAGACCACCTGATGCATCTTAGCTATCTAAATACAATTATCCTTCTGTTACACTGTATGAAGATATATAGGAATTATCGCACGCTGTGCAGTGGCATTGGTGATATATTGACTTCGTAATTTATAGGACTTAGTGACTTCTCGCCCACTCATACCTCTTTGCAACACTTGAATACAGAGTGGTATACATTGTATAATACCATCATCTCTGTTGTCATAGTTACCTATAGTTATAGCACACACATTTGAGCTTTAGATACTGGATATAGCGTCATACGTTATTGCTAATTTTGTATTGTCTTAGTTAAGATTACATGAAACCTGGAGAATCTCGGTTTTATTAATTGCTTTCTATACCTCAGTAATCTGTCAATTCTTTTCATGAATTACAGATATAGCATTCTCAAAATCAATTTCACATTTCACTTGGTTTCCAAGGTGATTGCCAATCAGTAAGGATACCAAAATCTGTATTAATGTTGTAAAGGAAGCCCTTGTATATTCCATGGTTTATGTCAGATTACCCTGACAGAAATTGTCAATTCTGAAAATTCAAAATTACTGCTTTCTTGTGTCTTTTTTTGCCTATGGAATTACATTCACCCACGCATCAGAATGTATGTCTATCAGTCCTTCTGTCTATCAAATGAAAACTGCTTTTCATCAATTCTCATATGCACATTTGAACACCTTTCTGATTCAAACACTATTTTGGTCCCAGTGGTTTAAATTGACTTTCATTGACTCCTATGATAAAAAACCTTGAAATGTGAAAAAAAATTGCTGGTCTGAGTTATGTGTACTGAATATGGTTTATTGTACAGTGAAACATATCAAGAAGTGGAACACCTGTTTAAGTTGAACACTTTTCAGAATCTCAAGAACTCTATAAGTAGAACACTTTTTAGAGGTACCAAAGGTGTTCTACTAAGTCGGATTTTAATGTAATTTGTTTCACTGTAAGTTCTTCATCTATTTGCAGATAAATGGGCTTAGCCATGTGAACATCCCTGTGATGCTAATGCCGGATGACTTCAAAGCACATACAAGAATTAAAGTAGAAAATCATCTGTTTAATAAGTAAGTATTTATATGCTAGAATACTCTCACAAATTGCACATTCTCATCAATTGACTCAAACTACATGAAAATCTCTTACACTCACCTAAATTAATGAATGTTGTATTAGTTTTGTTTAATTGCATATATACATGTAGATATATTTGTCATAATTTGACCAGAGGTTACCCCTACCTCGGTTATATATATTAGTGTATGTAATACATCGAGAATAAAGTCACATTTCTCTTCGATCATTTTCAACTTCTTTGTGAAGAACCTAGCATAGTGACCCCTACTTGTTCTTCATTTTATTTTTGGAAAGGAGACTATTTAAAGTTCAAGTTTCATCAATTTTATTTTTCAATTTTTAAATAATGTTCTTGTCCATTGTCATTATATCTACAGTAAAATATGATGTATATAGAGAGTAGCTGTCAATTGATCAAACAATATTATGCCATTGATCCAGATGTTAGTATTAATTAGATGAAGCTCTTATAAGTAAAAGAGACTGACTTAGGCAAGGCTAATAAAGATGTAAAATCAAAGAATTGAAAATGGTACCAAAATTGTTCGTCAGTGAAACCTGTAAAGTGGAACATCTCTGTTAGTCGAACACCTCTGTTAGTGGAACACTTTTCAGTGTCCGGAGACTAACTGACTTAATATTAAATGAACCCCTTTTTAAGTAAAACCTCCCAAGTAGAACACTTTAGAGCCCTGAGATCAACTGACATAATAGAGACATAAGCTGGTACATAAAATCAAAACGCCAACCTGTACGTAAGAAATCGTCCTATACAAATGCATGTAGTTTTCTCACATAAATCGTTCTTTACTTAGGCCATACTACAGCGTTAAATATGCCATTGATAGTAATATAGCTGGTTTTCTATGATACATGTTTGAAACAAGGTCATTTCGTAAGATATTTGGAGCTAAAGCATGTATGACATACATCATTTTCTTCAGAAAGCATTGTGCATTGGAATCAAAATAGCATATAGCATAGTCTTCAATAGACATACGTATAATGATTCCCATTGCCACCAATGTGAAATAGCAAATCTCCCGTTCTAAACACGAAACTGAAGCTGAACGGGTGTCTAGCGCTTGTTTTGTATGCGCGCTATATACATTACTGTATTGATTCAGGGACTTTGCTTTCTCGTTTATGTTAAATATCGCCAGCTTAAAGTCTCCGGTGTTAAATGAACCTCTATAAGTGGAACACCTCCCAACAAGTGGAGCACTTTTTAGACAGGTTTTACTGTACATGTATAGTATATACATATAGCAAATCCTTGGGAATGAACTGTTGCTTGCAATCAGTATAAAAAGCCATTAATAGATATTTGCTTAAGCGGTGGTATAAAAAAGTAATAATGAAGGCCTACTATAGACATGAATATTTACATAAGGTTATTTGATGCAATATTTTTAACAAAAAAAACATTGAATAAATATTGTTTCATATCATATAAATTAGATCAATGCTTTATAAATACACTTTGCAAGACCTAGACTGCCATAACAAGGACAAAGATAGCAGAAGACAACAATCAATAATCTCTCCAGTATTGAAGCAAGTGGGTGCCGTACCCACCTGAGATTAAAAAACAGCCTCACACCCACCTGAAAATCCATTTGCACCCACTTGAAAAATCATGAAAAATAGGCATGTTTTGACCAATTTCGGTCTGAATTGTGAAAATTGGAATTTTATACCCTCTTGAGAAAAAACTCGCAAAAATAACAGACAAAAAATAAGGGTAGCCTAAATATTTATTTTCAGATATCATATGAATAGTTGGCATAGTAAAGACATATTAATTCGTTAATTGTAATACTTGTAATTTGTTCTTCCACCTCAAATAACACTCCCTCCTAATCTGTATGATAGATTAATACCACTCTCATATCCCATAAAATCATCCTTGATCCAAGAGTATTTCACTTCTTTCTATATCGAGTTGAGTTGAATTGAGTAATAAATGAAGTCCTTTGAATGAAGGATGCATATAATATAAATTGAAGTTTTTATTGATAGTCATAAAACCATACAAGGTCAAAATGTCTGGAAGTATTAGCATTGTTCCACAAGAATGTTCTGGCATTGACCGGCTTTGATGATAATAATGTTAGCAATTGCTAGCATTGGCAGCTATTACACTGAATTATTGCAGTATTAATCTTGTTAATGTTGTTTATACGAGACTATGTACATTGGCTGTGTGATAGTCTCTGCTATAATCCATTCTAGAATATTCTACAATGTGATCTCATGTTACACAAACTGACCCCCTCCCTCTCATGAAATCCAACTTAGTCTAGGAGGCACTTAGCCACTTAACCTTTGAATTCGTTTGACTTTACTTCTTAAAAGAGAGCTTCGTCTTGTCGCTTTCCATTTTCAATAAATCTTTGTAATATACATGCAGTTTAAACTTAAGACAGAGGTTAGTTTATATTTTTAGACTGATGGGCAGGCAGGTTAGGCAGGAGACACTTTTGTTCCTTCCTTGGTGTTTATAGATTTAGGTGAATTGGAAATATGACATTGGTAACTTCTACAGCACCTACTTTCTCTGGAAGTTAGCATTAGATATTTAGACTAGAGTCACTCTTGAAAATCAGAATATGTGAATATGACATTTTCATCCTCTTGGTCTCTACAGGATTTATAAGGAAGGGCCATGATTTTATGGATTTAGTTTGAACCTCAGATGCACAGATTTTAAAAGCTACATATAAAACTAGAATTTTTTAAATATCCAATAATTATGCTTTTTGGAAAAATCATCCCAAAATTCCTCGCTCTTTATGAATAATAACTTGAATTTAAATCTATTCAAACTGAAATAATTAATCTAAAATATTGGATATGTTATTTATAGAAAAAATTATCTGTGAAGTTACGCGGCATACAAGTATTTTTGTGCATAATGAGATGCATGGAATGAGTGACATGTAGCACTCAGGATAAGACTGATGCTCATATTGACAGAAGCTAACAATTTCAATCTCTGTTTCCATGGTAATTCAGAATCTGAATAATTGACAAGTCATACTAATGCAGCTCTATATACCATGAAATCAGTGGCTAGAAAACAAACATGTCAGATAGTTTTATATTTTATGATCATTAAAGTACAGGCTTTAGAAAAAAAACACATCAGTGTTCATTAAGGTACAGCGAAACCTGTAAAGTGAAACACCTCTTGAAGTGAAATACCTAAGTTAGTAGTGCACTTCTCAGAGTCCCAAGACCAACTGACTTAATGTTGAATGAACCTCTCTAAGTAGAACACCTTCCAAGCATATTATTGTATATCTGAAATAATTCATTTATCATTGTGGCAAGCCTTTCCTTTTGTCTGTCATCTTTGGCTTTATGGATGTTGAATCAGGCTGTGTATCAATATTTGACCACTTCCAAGATCAAAAAACTACATTTAATTGAGCAGATATAATAGATAATACCTATATGAGTTAATGTTTTTCAGCTCATTTGATTAGACTGGGCTTAACATGAACCAACTGTTGTTTTAACTTATTATTGGAAGTAATTTATTATCTAACTGTTATTATACATCTATTTCTGGTAGTGCAAATTACATTCCTCACATTAGTAAGTTATAATTATTTCACCACTTGTCTTCCTCAACAATATTCCTTTCAAAGTAGATTATTAACATAACTTGCATTGTGATGTCTAAATTGATGTAAAACAGTGTGAAAATAGCTAACAAGTTTGTATAGATATGTACAAGATATGTAACAAATTAAATTAGATAATAGATATATTCTTCTTGCTTGGGTCCAATAACACTGTTCTACAGCTGGATGACTCTAACTGCAGTTATCTTCATTCAAGATGGTTGTCGAGATTCTTTCATTTTTGATAAACCCCCGATTTCAGCTAAACTAAGTTGAATCTTGATTCCAAATGTTTCGCCATGCAAATTTATAAAACTATGATTATATTCAACCACAAATGAATGCCCAAACACCTGCAATATTAGAGAATTTTAAAGAAAACGGCTTCACTTAGAATGTCTCTAACTGAAGTTGATGATCTACTTTATCATTATGTCATCAACAACTTCAGTTAAAGTCATTCTAAGTGAAACCATTTTCTTTAAAATTCACCAATATCGCGGTTGTTTGAGCATTTATTTGTGGTTATTAACCATCGTAGCTTTATTAATTTACATGGAGAAACATTTTGAATCCAGATTTAACTTAGTTTAGCTGAAATCGGCAGTTTATCAAAAACCAAAGAATTTTGGCAACCATCTTGAATGAAGCTAACTGCAGTTAGAGTCATCCAGCTGTGGAACAGTGAATAAGGTACTTTGTGTATCCACAGAATCATTAGTATTGTTGTATAATGATAGATACATGTAAAGATAACTAAAGCAATTTTGTCTAGATATGTAAACATTGTCTAACAATATTTAAATTAGATACATCCTCCAAATGCATGGCTCTAGTCATAATCCACTCCAGAGTAAGGAACAGATTGGATGATGTCTGTAGCCTTGCGTTTGGAGGTTGATCCAGGTATAATGGACATACTCTTCCACATTTGCTTGGCTCCAGTAAAATACTTTGTTTGTTTACAGAATCATTAGAATTGTAGTATACGTCTTAAATCCGCTAGATTATGTACTTTTCTCTTTAATGATTTTATAAATTGAAATCGAAGTTGTCAGAATTCTAATCGCTTAAGTGTGTCTCTATTTATTCCTATTGCCAGCGCCTCATTGTTTGAAACTCATTGTTGAATTTTCATTGTATGATATTTGAACTTGAAATAAAAATGATTGATAAAAAAATTGTAACTCATTTAAAAGTGGGTCTGCATGGTATTGTATAAAGTTCTAAATGATTATAAGATATTGTTCAATGGAGGGACTGCTTAACATGTTTCAATTATTCATTGCTGAGCCAAAAACAGATATGATTTATTAAAATTCAATAAGAGCATATAGAGGTCCTGTGTAATAGAAGCATATTTCACGGGATGCGGATTAATGGCTTGTCTATATAGTAAAAAAGAAGTACATTTTTGTGGAGTGCTTTTTTGTCACTCCCAAAAGTAAGTGACATATTGTTATGTTTCCAACTCTTTTATGACTTTATGACTGGCGGTTTGTGTTCAGCGTTTGGTGTCTGTAACAAATGGCAGGTGTTCACATTTTGCATGTTAATTCCTCTTCTTATTCTTATGACATACTGTACTTAATTATACCCAAAACCTGAATAATCCGCATTATATTTTCAGAGAAAACATGCCAAGTAAGTTCAAATTCAAGGAATACTGTCCCATGGTGTTCAGGAACCTGAGAGAGAGATTTGAAATAGACGACCAAGAATATATGGTAAGTCAAGACAACCCTAACGCTAAAGATACTGACTTTAATTAATAGACGAATGCTTTGGTTTATTAGGTCAATTGGCAATAAGTCTAATGAATTTGGATATTTCTTGAAATCTAAATTGGCACGGGACATTCTGACATAAATGTTTATTCAATAGATTGTTTACAGATTTTACACTCTTTCTTTGCTGTTGATGCCAGTGAAAGCCAGAAAACAACCTAAAACAACATTTCTCTGTTTTATGCTGGGGATCAGGGAATCTTATTGCAGTTGTTTTGTTAAACTCAACATTCCAATTTAACAGACATATCACCTGGTTTATACTTTGTTGTTTTGCCCTGTCCATACTTGTGTTAAGTACTTGAACTTGAAATGAACAGGCATTTCTCCCATTTGTTCTCAAAGTTAAACATTTCACTGTAAATTACTTTTGCTTCTTGAATGCATCCTTCATGTTGGCAAATTGTTACTTATGTCCCCATGGGAGCATTACGAATCTTCAATTTTATTTAACATGGACTGTGTTTTTGATAACATCTGATGTGATTAAGAGGGGGGGTCTATCAATCTGAACTTCTTGTACATTATATTTCATACATTTATAACTCAAGTTTTAGGAAACATTTAGACTTTAAAAGTGAATTGCGCGTCATATGAAATACAGTATATAGGTAATTTGCCAAGTATATCGCCAAATTGCTATATATCTAGATCATGGTCACCTCAATCAATATAATATAGCGATGCCAATCAAAGTAACTTTGGATGATCTTTCCATTGATATATCACAATAGGTATCATTAGTTAAGGTTTTGGCTGTAGCAGGGAGACAGGACTTATTTGGCAACCTGTATATTGTTGGTTCATCTATTTAAACCCTCTATTTCTATTGATATAGATAACAGTTCTACATAATTGAAGTTTGAATTATGAATACTGGGAGCAAGAAGGGTGTCTCTTACATCTTGATGCCCTAACATATAAAATTGCCTGTGTTGGGTTTCTTTTGTTTTATAGACTTTTGTTCTTAGCTCCTATATTGCAAGAAGTACATTAGGAATACATGTGCAACATGAGAATTCATTTGTTTTTCGCTGAATGATTTGTTAACGAAAGTCTGGTTCATCTTCTCTTGGGATCAAATTTCAGTATCATATCACTTACTCAATCTAAATAAGGAAGTTGCCGATTTGATCGGAGATCATTGTGAAATATCAATTCTGATACAATAAGTTGCCAGCGATAGATCTGGAAATTGGCAAGGGGGAGGGGGAACAAAATGTATTACCCATATATTTTTGAATGTCAGGAAACACATCCAATATTTAAAGATTTCATCCAGCAACCGGGCCACTGTAAAAAGTGGGTCAGTGTCCTATAACATTTCCATATTCATCAATTACAATGCTAAAAATAGAATGATATCCTATAGCAATACAAAGTAAAAGTGAAACACTACAAAATATTGGCATATTTCTGTCATCGATTGCAATCTATAATAAGGGCGAACATGTTTTTAAATACAGTATATGATTCGAAAAACCGTTCTGAACCAAGAACCAAGAACCAAGAATTGTACAGAACTATGACCAACCTTACTCTATTAAATACCACTACATACCATGTACAGTTTTACATGAATTTAATACACAATTGGTAGAAATTTGATACTGCACATAAATAAAAAACACTGAAGAAATTAGAATTTTGACAGCAGTCTGTCATGTGATGTTAAATCTATTCCAATTACTCAGATGCGAGTAGGTAGTTACCAGTTTCGCCACCAGGTGGCTGATTCGGGGGAATTAACATGGCAGGGTATTACAAAATTCCCTTAAACTTGAATATGCATCAGTTTTAGTGGTTCATTTTTCATATTACCTTTATGTATCTGATAGTTATACAAATTAAAATATGTCCAGTAAAAGAAAATATTATCTGCCCAACACAAGAAAAGATATTTCACTTTTTGTGGTTTTACAACATGGGGTCTATGGGGAATCTCCCCGACCTAGAAGTCACATTTTCAAAGAAAATTAAATTTTCAAAGTTGATAAACTCTTTTCAAAACCACATTTATAAATGTAATTTTACATGTAGATTCCAAATATGACATCAGTTTGACTGAATTGTGAATTTTTAATGACGTAAATCAAGATTATTTCTACTCGCATCTGGGATATTGACATTCCATGTTAATGTCATATAAGCATTATCTATAGCAGAAAATAATCTCAATGTGACTATAATTAACTCTATTAATTGAACATGTTATACCTATTTGATACCTGTAGTGTTCATAGTTTTCATGAAATCTGTTTTAAAGTGATAATGCAGAACAAGACTTTTTGAATTGTAATTTTTTGAACATGGCCTTAATTAATTTCTATATGTATTAGATATACTATTAACAAAGTTGTTGATTTTCTTTCTCAGAGATATTTATTTTGAAATAAAATAAATATCTCTGAGAAAGAAAATCAACAACTTTGTTCATGTACACTACTACCAGAGAGATGAACATTCATAGAATATACAGTATATTAGATGTTAGAAGGAATCTAAATAGTGCAACAAAGTTCTATCTAATATGGTATTCCATTGATTTTGCGACCTAATTGGTTATTTATATGTGAATGAAATATCAGAAAGAAGTCAATGAACTTGAGAAAATTGACAGTATCAAGATTGGACTTTTGTCATATGGCTTGAACCAGCCATAAATATGCCAAGAAAACTGATTATGATAAAAAGAGAAAGTTACCAAAAGGATTAAGGATAGTAACTCCTTACATTAAAACTTATATACTGTATAAGTGGTATTTAATCCGAGTGGTTAATTTTCCGAATGGTCAAATTTCATCATTTTCCTAATTTTAATTTTCCTAATGACAAGAAACCTCCCATTGGATAACATTATAAAGACAATATTTCCGACATTTAATTTTCCGAACCTGGAAAAAATTAGGAAATAGGGAAATTAAATGATTAGGCAAAATTACCACTTATACAGTATTTCCCAATTTTTTTTCAGAATTCCCTAACAGTGACACCCCCAACTGGTGCAGATTCTCCAGGGCGGAGCGGGGCTAGATTCCTAGCTTCTGGCGACAAAAGATTTGTTATAAAAACACTAATCAGTGAAGAAGTAGCTGAAATGCATCACATTCTAAAACAATATCACCAAGTAGGTTTCTTGAATTTAGATTTTATCGTTCACTTGTCTTTGTACTTTCATTGTGCATACAGTATGACCTCTTAACACCTCTAGAAATAGAACGCCTCTGTTAGTGAAAGACTTTTAAGAGTCCCAAGATAAAGACTTAAATGTTCAATGAACCTCTATGAGTAGAACACCTCCCAGGTAGAACACCTTTGAGAGGTACCAAATGTGTTCCTTGTAGAGGTATCATATGTGTTCCACTAGACGGATTTTACTGTATGTTTATAATTATTATACTGTGTTCTCTAATCTCTATCCCTATAATATTTTATAAAATTAGTGGGAAAATGTTGATTAAAATATGAACAGTGCTCAGCTATCAAAAGTGGATCAGTTGGAGAGTTGATGTAAAATTATGATGATTTAAAAAATAATTTCGTGCATATTTGAGTTAATTGTGTAAAAAGAAAGAATATAGAACAAATTATAGTTCAGTTTTGATGATGTTTATTCAATTTTTAGATGATCACGAAATGTCTGTGACATACAATCTACTCCAAAATATGTACTTACGAATGTGGGAAATCTATGAAAAAATTTCTGCAAAAGAATTTCTTGTGAAACCTAATGAAAAATGATACCTTCCAAAATCTAGAATGAATGTAACCTTTAGCATGCTGCCGGCGAGTGGAGTCGCCCGTGCTTTACTATCCCGTGTGACTGCCGGCGACTCTGGTCGACACAATTCAAACTTTTAAAATCTTTTTCGCGCCATTCTTATTATCCAATAAGATTGCATGTCTTATTCAGTGCCATACATGACTTCTGGGTGACTTAGAAATGGCGATGTTTCAAAGAAAAATTGTCAATTCAACAATTTAAATGATGTTTTAGCTGAATAATGTGGAGGAATCGAACAAAATGGCGGCTAAATCGATCATAATGAAATTGTGGAGGATATGGACTCGATTTTGAGCTCTTTAGGCTTTTGGAAGCCGATAATGGACATTGAAAATAGAAACTAGAATATTTTCTGAACTGAAAAGTTGAACATTAGATCGCTGCAAATTCAGAATTGGATACTGACCCAACATTGAGTCCTTCAAGGAGTGTAGCAGTGGTTTCTGGAGGAGTATTCATAGTTTAGTATGCACAGCTGTGTTTATTTATTAAAAAAAATAAATGAAAAATATATGATCACGGTAACAGACAATGTATCTTCCTTTTGTGAAAATTGTATCCAGATTCATTCAGTAGTAATCGAGATATTTATCATAAGTCCAGTATGTCATTTTCTTGCAAAATAAGTCAGTCACACGCGATGAAATGGCCAAGTTAAGTCAGCATGCTAAAGGTTAAAGATTTTATATGTGATACTAGTATATTTACTCAGTAATTATACATCCAACAAAAGTACAACAATATAGCACATAAGGGTGTAATAAAAACATAGATACAGCATCTATATATTATATAATATGGTTCATAATTCATTTAATGTGAAATTGTATTTTTTTAATTAAAGCAAAATAAATGTAGTAATTTTGAATAATTTGCTTATTTCCAGCACATAGTAGAGCGCCATGCAAAGACCTTACTTCCACAATACCTGGGCATGTATAGAGTGACATTCAATGACCAGGAAACATATATGATTGTCATGAGAAACATATTTAGCGCTAGATTAAATGTGCATAAAAAATACGACCTCAAGGTAAGACGACACCGGTATCGAATAACTGTAACTGTGATCTTCTCATCACAATTGACATTTGCAACTGTTTTATGCAAAAAAGATTACAAATTGATGCGAGGCTAATGTAAAAATCACATGCATCTTAATGGCAGAATCAGCAAGTATTCATCATCATAAGAATTTTCGAATATCTTAGGATCTTATCATTCCTTGTTGTATATGTCTATTTTCTCCACACTGGGTTGGCAATGTTAGTTTCTGTCTGTTTAAACGTTTTTTTAATTAATATTTTGACTTAACAATGTAAAGGTTCAGGGAATTAGAGAATAAGATACTACTGAGCAAGATGATGGTGATCTGAGTAATGACTTGAGTAATGAGTAAAGCCCGGGGGTTCACTGTATATAAACGTTGACGAAGATCCTCGGCGCACATGGGGTACATTTTTTGACATTTGGTATGTGAATGGCCCCCAAATTATGACTTTTGAGGTATGGCAATGGTCCGATTTTCCACTTTCTGGTATGAGAATGGTCATGGAAAACGTTACCTCACACTTGTGGTATGGTATTAGTTGTTTTGGATTGTTTTCTTCATAGATTTGCCTTCTCAAGGCCTTCTTTAGTTTGAATATTAGTTTTTTTGACTTTGGACATTTGGTACGGCATTGGTCCTATATTAAGACATTTGGTATGGCATTGGTCTTACATCTGGACATTTGGTATGGCATTGGTCCTATATTTGGACATTTGGCATGGCTTTTGGGCGGATTTTGGTTCGTATGGGAACACATTGATATTTGTCAGATTGGTATGGGAACATATTGATATCTGAGGGTTGGTATGGGAAAATATTGATATCTGAGGGTTCAGCCTAGGACCCCCGCCAAAATTGATATACAGTGAACCCCCGGGGAGTAAAGTAAGTAGGGAATGACTTGGTGATTTTGATTTATACTCCTTCAGTTAGGGATCATGTCCAAAGAGCAAAGTTATTTTTGTGAAGAACGAATTAGTAAATGATGATTTTATTAAAGTGTATAGATATTGATATTGGCAGAGAGATGATGACATCAAATAATTACAATGAAAGTAAATCTTTTTTTCTTAACACAGAACATTTGTGCACCTTATGTATTTAATCTATCTGTAAAGTGAGGTAATTGATGTACTTCTTAGTCACGTCACTTATCTGAACACAATCTCTTCTAAAGCCACATGTACATATGTAAGTTGTGTATGTAAACAAGCATCTAGGTTACATTGACCTGACCCCCTCCATCAGAGAGATAACTACTGTTCTCAGTGATCTTTGTATGCAAAATTCTAATTTTCACAATTCAGACCAAAATAGGTCAAAATATGCCCATTTTTCATGATTTTTCTCATTTTCAAGTGGGTTCAAATGGATTTTCAGGTGGATGCAAGCCTATTTTCATGTTATATGAATATAGCAACATATAAAAAAGTAATAATATCTGCTTTCTACCCTCATCATTTTTTCCCCTATTTTCATGATTAAGCCACAATATCTTCATAATTAGGTATTTACCTTCATGATTTAGACATTTACCCTCATAGTTTCTATTTTTACCTTCATGATTAAGACATTTACCCTTATAATTTCTCTATTAACCTTCAAAATTAAGCTATTTTTCCTATGTGCAGGCATTTACCCTCATAGTTTTCTATTTTAAGGCATTTACATGTACCTTCATGATTTAAGGATTTGCCCTCATAATTTAAGCATTTATCTTCATGATTAAGCCATTTACACTCATAATTTCTATATCAACCTTCAAGATTAAGCCGTTATACCTTCATATGCAGGCATTTACCTTCATGATTTAGGGATTTGCCCTCATAATTTAGGCATTTACCTTCAATGATTTAGCCATTTACACTCATAATTTCTGTATCAACCTTCAAGATTAAGCCGTTATACCTTCATGTGCAGGCATTTACCTTCATGATTTAGGCATTTACCTTCATAATTTAGGCATTTACCTTTATGATTTAGGTATTTACCTTTATGATTTAGGCATTTGCCTTCATGACTTAGGCATTTACCTTCATAATTTAGGCATTTACCTTCATGATTTAGGCATTTGCCTTCATAATTTAGGCATTTACCTTCATGATTTAGGCATATGCCTTCATAATTTCAGGGTTCTACAGTTCAAAGACAGGCCAGTGACAAAGAAAAAGCTAAGGACCTTCCCACATATAAGGACAATGACTTTGTTAGTGATGGCATAGCCATAAATGTGGGCCCTGAAGCTAAAGAGAAACTTCTAGAAATTCTTAGTGCAGATGTACAGGTACCTATCACTGTTTACTGTCCATTGTATAGAAATCAGTTAGAACCTTAGAATTATTTTTGTCTTAGTTTGACTCATGAGAGCAAAATTCAATGGAAACTGTCTTTTTAAGTATGGTGTTTGTAGCATATCCAATGCTGTTTTATATCAATTGATTTAGTATCTGTTTATGTTTAATTGAACATTTTAATTGAACATTCACTGGTATGGGCTCTGTGAATCCCTTTGATCTCAGTCAAAAAGTTTTAACAAAAAATGAACATACAGTATGTAATATTAACCTAGTAGTAAAAACCATTTAAAACATGAAAAAAATCTGCTACCTAATTATCTTGCCCAATTAATATCCTGCTTTTATACAAATTGTCAGATGGACAACTAAATCCTGTTGCCTAATGTTTTCAGTTTATGTCCAAAAACAACCTAATGGACTACAGCCTGTTAGTTGGCATCCATGACGTGGATCGGGCAGAACAAGAATTCAATGAAACGTTTGATGAAGAGGGGATAAGTGAAGATGATGACTCAACAGGATCTGGGGGTGGGGCTGCCATGGCAACCAGTCCCGCTAGCCCCGGAGGCATGGATATGTGCCCGACCCCACCAGACAGTCCCTTACCAGTCAATGCAACTATGAACTTACAGCCATTTGATGGAGTCATAGACTCCAAACTAGAAAAATTTGCCATAAGCAGTTCTGAAGGTACATTAACATAATAGTTACAAATGACATTTAGAGCGATCAGTTTGTATTCGATTTTTTAGGAGATAATAACTACTGTCTTTATTCTTAATTGGTGTATTCTTTCAAATTATCCGATCAAATGTTCACAAAAATCCCAAAAATGAAAGTGTATGACAATAGTACATATCCTGATGTAGTTCTAGTAAAGGTCCTGAATTTGTATTTGTTGTATCTGTTATTTCAATAATTCTAAATCTGCCAAATTAAATAAAATAAAGTAAATATGGTCAATATTGAAAAAAGACCAAAAAACAAATCAAAAAAAATGACCAAATTGATAGCAAATACAGTGAAAAACTATATGATAATGAATTCAAAAAGAATAAACTTACAGCTATTTTATATCATTTTAATGCCACGTTAATAGAATACATATATAGTTTTAATCAGGTCATTCTATTTGCTTGCAGGCGCATCAAAGCGGGAGATCTACTTCATGGCACTCATAGACATTTTAACACATTATGGTGTGAAAAAGCGTACAGCCCAAGCTGCTAAGACTGTAAAACATGGAGCAGGGGCCGAGATATCAACAGTAAAGCCAGAGCAATATGCCAAGCGATTTCTAGATTTCATCAATAACAGTTTGCAATAGTAGCTCCTTGCCCCACCCACCTAGTGCATTATAGCTCATAATTCATCGTACATTGCATTATACACAATTATTAACCATAATTGGTACAAATTGAATCATTCTGAATGCATCTGTTGGATCGCAGAGCATTCTGGGAAATTCTCTTGTGGATATGTGATGAATTCTGGGAGGTCTCTCCCTGACGACAGTGTGAATTCTGGGAGTTGGCCACATACACGTTCAATGCAAGTTAGTTACTATCCCAATGTTTTATGTTTGTTATATGAGATCTGAATGTGGAACCCACCAAGGAGAGCCTGTTAACGTTAACTGCTTTAGAGTTCAAATTGTGTCTTCTTCATTGGAGAATAATATGGAATATTGGAGTTTTACATTTCTAACCTCCAAAGGTGCTGTTGGCATGGAGATGGATAAAAAATCACAATGATTGCCTTCTGTGAATTATTAAGATTCACAAAAAGATGAAGAAATAACAACTTGCCAAAATTACCTCTACAGTTAAAAGAATTGTATTCACAATCAGTGGAGTTGGAAATATAGTAGCCAGCAATTGGCTCATTTTGGATGTATTGCAAAGGTGTTGACTACTTTAAAGGAGAAAATGCAATTCAAGGGAATATGTGCATGCAGAAATCGATGTTGTAAATTGCCTTTCTCCTCAAATCTTTCAGTTTCTTCTCAAGAGAAATGTGTTAACATAATATTATTTTCATTGTTTGTAAAAACAGACTGCATTATATGTATTATACTAGATGTACATGCTGCGATATTTGCTTTAAACCCACATTTGCTAATTAAATAGAGAGAGCACACATAGTTAAAATAAGATAGAAGATAGATCTTTGTCTATTTGTAGTTACATACAAACCACAACACATCAATTTTGTCTTCAACTTGAGACTACAAACAGTGTAATACACAAACTCAAGAAATGCCTCAATTTTTTGCTTATTGCTCCAGTTCATTGTATTGATCATTTAGCGGTGGTCTCCAAAAGTGCATTTCCCTGGGGGAGGGAGTAATGCTGACTTTGTGTATGTAGTCTTGAGTTTGCCAAAAGGGAAGTTAAGTAAATCAACATTTTATCTTGTTAAATGGGGGGAGGTGTCAAACTACAATATAATTTATTTTTCATATAGGGACCTTCCCTTATCTAAAGACAATATTTTGAGTGGTGTACAACAGATTTTCTATATATTCTTTATATAGACAAAATTAGCAGCAAATTGCCAAAATTGTCAACAGATTTAGTGAAATTCCAGTGATACCAAAACAATGTGCAATGTAGATAGATACTAAGATAGGTCTGTAGGTAGCTGATGAACTTTCACCTCAATTTTCTTATATGCAAGAGTTCACTTTATATGTACAAATAAAATGTCAAGTTGTCCGTTTTGCATCGTACAGACAGAGAGAATCGTGATGTTTTGTATTTCTAGTTGAGTATACAGTAAACATACCGCAGAACATGTGAATAGTGAACTTCTTTGGAGTCCAATGAGTGTTCACAAGAGAGAATGCTTTAGTTCCTAAAAATATTTTGATTCAAGACTTGGATAGGTGTTCACTAAGGCAAGGGTTACTGTAGTTCTTGTAGTAGCAATCATTCTATTGTCACCACTTTTATGTCACCACCAGAAGTGGTGACATATTGTTATAGTCTCCAACTTTTTTGTGGACAGTGTTTGGCATGTGGTGGTCAGCATCTGTAACAAATAGCAGGTGGTGACATTTTGCATGTTTATGCCTTATGTTGAGATTGTAGTAAACATAAGTAGAAAATGTTAAGCACCTGTATACACATTCATATAAAAACTGTTACCTTACACTTTTGCATAGACATAGCAATGACGAAATAATTTGTGTTATTTCAACTGACTCATCTTCACTCCTAATGCCTGGCCAAGGCATTGTGTAGATTTTATACATAATAATATTTGTTTGCTACTTTTCTACAGTATCTTAGAACAAATTGAGTATGAAGACAATAAAGAAAATATATGGTGTTTTGTTGTATACTACAATACACAACACAAAACAGGGTGAGGCTCTCACGTGCTGTTACCAAGGGGTCTGTTTTTGGAACTGTCGTAACTTAGGATTTGGTTGTAAGTCAAAATTAGACACGGGTTTTCTCTGAATGATAAAGTTATGATTGTACCAAAAACGGAACCCCAGGTACGCAAGTGTGTTATAGTCATAGCTATGAATATTCATCAGACCATTGTTGTCATGGTTACCATGGAGATCATGATGTCACTATGAGAGAACAATAGACTTATGAATTCATGAAAAGAATGCTTACGAAAATGTGTCTTGGGTTATTTTTTTCAACTTTTGTGCATTTGTAAATCAGTTGAAGCAATCTTTGACATCCTTAGAACTCTATGCGCCAGGTAAATATTAATAAACAGCTTCAAATCATACAGTTTATGTACAACATACATTATTCACTCGATGACACTGGTCCCTTCATATTTAAAAATGTAATGCAAAATGTGAAAAACGTTTTCAAAAGTTAAATGTTAAAGAAACACAAGTGTTGAATAATATCTGAATTTTTATAACATAAAAAGGTCAGTGTATGATTTACTTGAATACCAGTGCAGGGTCTTTTATAATTTTTCACCGGTGACTAGAAATATGCCAGTCCATCACAGAAAGCACAATGAGCAAAATTTGAAAATAAACGTAACCTCTATAACTGTGCAAATACTGAGGGAACAATCTAGAATAATAGATAACTTTTTAGGACTAAAATACTTTCCAGTTTTATTCAATTGGTCATCAAAAAAGATACATCATTGTAATATCATTAAGCTCTCTCGTGATGGGGAAGCTCCTGTACTCGCCTGTATTTTATTTTGAAATTGTCATTTTGTATCATTGTTGGACATCAGAGTCTTGTAATCAGTTGTCTTGGCTGGTTGTAGATGTAATGAGTATCAGATTGATGCCTTATAAAAATTTTATATACCACATCACTCATGAATTCCTATGACAGGGCCATGTGTGCCAAGTAGAGTGCAGGCCAAAATGTCAAATATTGTTCTCGGAGCTACAGTTTTGAAATATTCTTGGATTAAAAAAGAAAAGGGTTTCTTCTGAAAAATTTAATTTATGTTTTGATAAAAAATTCATAATGATTAATAACTACCTCTTGTATTTTTATGATTGACAGCAATTTCTGTCTTAAAAGAAAAATATGTTTTTGGAAAAATCACTTTGACCCTCCAAGAAGCACTTCATGTACCTTTTAATATATAACTGGGTCCTATAACAAGCTAATACCACCTATGCTACCATAATCTGAGAACACCAAGCATAATTTTGAGTTAGTATTCTTGAAATCTGAAGATATCTAAAACAACCATTGTAATATTTCTGGCATTTTTTATCATCGAAAAAATGTGGATAATTAACTGTACAATTCTGTATCATAGAGATGTCATTGTCTTAATTACTCGGAGGATTGAGGCCCTTAGTTATACATTGGAACACAAGGTAAATTTTGTCAATGGATATACTGTATAACATGTATAAAGTGGACATGTGATTCTTCTAGTGATTGTCACTACTTTCTGTATGTATTACATGTTATGTTATATGTACTATATGTGATCGCTGTGAATAAAGCCAATAATTGTAGAAATGTATGATATTGTTGATGTCACTTCACAGGTAGTATCCAAAGCCCCCTATGATTTCAAAGTCGCGAGCAAGTTCCCGCTGAAACCGTGAGCAATAAAAAAAGTGATGGGTTGTCATTTGTATACTTGAATTGTATGATGTACAAAACGTTTTCTTTTAATTTTCCCGAATACATGGTATTAAGACTAAAAAAGCAACTACTGGAAAAGTATCACGAGCAGTCGTTCTGTGGTTCTTTATTTGACAATTGAAGAGAGAAAGTATCATCTTGAATCTTTATCTATATATTTCTATACGTTATAGGTGAAGAACGACGTTGTCCTGTGGTTGAAATAATGATAGTGATCTGAAATAAAAATATAGTGAGTTTCACTTCCTAAAGCTTTACAGAACACTTTTTATTTCAATTTTATCATATCCCTCAAGGCCCAGCTTCTAACAGGAGCAATAAAGCAAAGACCCCGCTGAAACCATGAGGAGGCCTCGCTGAGAACATGAGGAGGTCCCGCTGAAAACAGGAGCAAGTGTCTCCAAAATGGAATGAATCTTGATTATACCGTGAAAATCTCCTACTAATATTGTACCCAGTTTCAAGAATACACCATTTGTTGATACAATTTTCAAAAACAGCAAATACTGTTACTTATTGATATAGTACATATTATGATAGGTTGTTATGGAAAAACTGCAGATGTAAAAATAAATGTTGATATTACGCATCAAATCTAATCAATCCAACCGTAAGTGGAATTCCATCATATATGAGTACAAGTCGAAAGACCAACGCATGTACACACGAACGAACGGTCGAACGAACACAAGCAGGAACGAATGGTCGGTAAGACGAACGGACGGACGAACTAACGCACGAATGGACGGTCGGATGGATGCACGAACGGAAGATCTGATGAATGCACGCACGAACGAACAAACAGGCGAACGCATGTATGAGTGAACGAATTTCGTATGAACGCACCCATGAATGAAAGGAAGCTTGGACGAACGCACACACGCACAAACAGACGGTCAGACAAATGTATGCACGAACAAACTAACGGTCGGGCGAATGCACGTACAAATGAACGGTCGGAAGAACAAGCCAATGAAATACATGTGTCCTCAGAAGTATCCTCCTTGGAACATTGAATTATGAAGAATTTCCATTTAACTGTACAAATGTACAAAGTCTATTTACACATTTAAGAATGTTATGACGACGCTGACAGATGGATCAAACTGCCTGAAGTTGCAGAAGATATATTTGTGATGTTACCATAGAATGATGTTGTGTTATTGTTATTAATACATATAAAGAAACTGAAATATCTTCATGGAATAACAATGAAGCTTTCCTCGTGATCGAAGCGGTACCTCCTCATGTTTTCAGCGGGGCTTACTCATTTTTTCAGTGGGGCCACTGAAATGCTTTTAATGATGTATTTCGACCCCCATGGCAGACGTAATCATACAGTAACTTATCAATACAGATCATATTGATCCGATATGTATTATGGAGTATGTAAATCGTATTCATTGCCTTTATTTTAACGATAAAAGTAATATATGAACAGTAAATCATGCAAATGTGCATGTTGACGCCTTTTTTCTGCCATGCCAGTGAAAAAGAATCAATTTCCATGTCATTGTTTGTCAAATATATATGTTTTTTAAGTATTGCTGGAGTATCAAAGAACAGTTAAAAGCATTTTCATCCTTTTTCTCCATTTTCCAAAGTGATACAAATAAACAGGACAATGCTTGCGATTTCAGCGGGAACTTGCTCGTAAAATCATAGCGGGGCTTTGGATACTACCCGTGCACTTGATGATAGTTGAAAGTTCAATCTGAATTGAAGTCCCTATATCATATTGTGCAGGTCAAGGATCTCATTTAATTTTGAAGGAGTAATTGCTCTATTTAGGGGCTTCAAGTCGCAACATGTCACATAGACATTTTCTCCGAATTCCTTTTGGAGGTTCCTCCACATCACCTATTTAAAGGAGAACTACCAGTTTTTTCCTTTCGATCACAGTAACCACCATCAATCATTGATGGTCTGTTTAATTTGGTTACATTTATTGATTTGGAGTTCATTTCAGTATTTATCTTCATATCAGATTTTAATGTCACTACTAGACGTGACATATTGTTCTCAGTCTCCCAACTTTTTGTGAATGGTGTTCTGTAACAAATGGCAGGTGGGGACATATTTCCTTGTAAATTGGAGAGATTTGAGTCCCAAGCACAGAATTTCTCTAAAATTGATGATGGACTAATTACAGAGAGAAATCATGTTACTGGCCTTTTCAGACAAGTACTGGTATTAGATGAAAGAACTAGCTATTTTTATGGCACAACTTTGACAAGATTGGAAGAGGGGGACTCTTATAAGGGAAGGGGGGGGGGGGGTTCCAAACCATTTAATTGGAATAGCCATTCATTGTTAGTATACAGGGTGATCACTAAGTTCTGGGGATTTATCTGTCATTTCATTATTGTTCAACCATTTCACTTGAAATTTGCATGGTAAATGGGGAATGTAATTTTGGGTTGGATAAAACATTGTCATATTGTCGAGAAATAAATTGTTGAGAAATCTTGAAATGGCATACTAATTCCCAGAACTTAATGATCACCCTGTATTTCACAACAGGTCAGATTGTGTTTTAACACGTCACATGTTTATTTGTTACATCTATATACACATACAAAATTGTTTTATATTACACTCAACTTTGGCAAATATTGAGGCCTGTTTGTTTCGTATGAGAATGAAACAAAAGTAAGATATACTTTTCAGATTAATGATGATTAATTAAGTTTTTAACACTTCTGTGATAAATGTGTTGGTTGCAGACCTATTGCAAGAACATGCACTGCTAACTAATATTCAAACATGTAATTGTAAGAAGTGGGAATGAAAAATACTTTAATGAAAGTATGGTGAAGTAGTTTGAACATGAATATGATGCCCAGTGTCAACACACAGCCATTTTCAGATCCACATGTCAAACTATAACCTCCCAGCCTGTCTTCAGGAATAAATACATCCACTGGATGGTATTGTCACACAGGTATTCAATATCCAATGATGTCTATTTTCTAGAACTGTCTCTAAAGTCTCTAATCCATTCTGGCCTTCAATGTCTTTGTTGTCACTTTATCTTTTTCTCTGGAAACAGAATATGAAATATTTATAAGGCTATTCAAGATTAAACTCAATCAATTAATTCAGGAATTCAATGAAGCATTTGATGAAGAGGGGATAAGTGAAGATGATGACTCAAATGATATGATAAACCTCACTCAAATGATATGATGAAGCTCACTCAAATGATATGATAAACCTCACTCGAATGATATGATAAAACTCACTCGAATGATATGATAAACCTCACTCACATGATAAAATAAACACACTCATTGCTACTCACATGATATGTACAATTGCTCCCCATCCTGATACAGCATCTCTGTCCACAGCATTCAATAAAGCTTGGGATATGGTCTCGAACAGATCATCTGGCGACTGGAAAATAAGCACATATAAGTGTAATTTACAGGTTACTATAACAGGGTCACAATTCTTCTTTTCAGGTGAAAGAAAGGAACAACGTACAATTTTGAATACATGTAAACACTTTCAAGCAAACTCAAATCAGATTTCAATATTTTCAATACTTTTAAACAATTTTTCAGAATTTTAAACTATTTCATTGCATGATCATCTCAATCATGTAGTTGCTAGTCAATCTGGCGCAAATATAGGAGTTCAGCAGAAAATAGGTAACCTTTCTTAAATTTACCAGAAACATATAATAACATTTAACAGGTCTCTGTATTTACTTATAATTCTTACACAATCTTCTTCCTACTTGAACTTTTATTTCCTAGCACAAAATATTTAATGTTAATGTACTTAAGTGTAGTGATGTACTGAATTTTCACTAAAATTTGTATGTGTATTTCTATGCAATATATAACATACCATATCAGGTTCCCATAGTGACTCACACATGCCGTACATCTGTTCTGAGCAGGTGCCACTGACAACAAAGTCTTCGGTGATCATGGGACATCCAATGAGATCTAGGGACGCTATGAATGGTTCAGAGGTGTTTGGGTCAAGTCCTGCTACTACTGGCTCAACAAAGTATGGACCGAACCTACAACACATAGTAACCAAAACATAATATCCCAGAGTACCAAATGCTAGTAATAAAAAAAATTTGGGGTCATTTTTGCAATATTGGCACCGCTTGGCATCTTCACACACTCTGTCTTCACTGCATACCTGCGACCCATGGGAGCCGAGTGAACAAAGATGACCCTTTGGTGAAGATTAAATTCACCAACTTTGTCTGGCCAATACCTATGAAATCATTGCTATTGTGAATCTTTAGAAATTGAAAATACTGACCCCTATACTAAGATGCAGAAATAGATATTTAATTAGAACACATTCAGTTCAGACCTGATAATTTAATGTAATACATTAGTTCTCTTCAATGCTACAGTCCATTACAAGATTGTGATATTAATTTTTAAACACTGCAAATATAGGACAACATTTTGAACAAGGACTATATAACAGTACAGTACAGCAAGATATGTACAATAAAAAAAACAGGTCATTTATTTTATTCTAACATCATTACATTCAAGCCCTTGGTCTACATGTTACTCACCTCCTTTCATAGAGTAAATTTGAGACGACACTGAGAAATGTTTTGGGTTTCATTTTTCTGTTTTCTCTGAGTTCGTATAGATTAGTTCTGAACTTCAACTTTTGTGCTCTGAAAATAAAGCAATCATATTGTATTAAATTCTGGGTTTACCCAATATAAAATAAGGAAACCTGAATTTGAGGAATACATTTAGTGCAACCGAATAACATCATTTTCAAATTGTTTTGATTATGATTTGGGATAGTTGGGGTTGGCTCTCTTTATGACTTGTCTACTCTTCGATGTTTTGTTTCTTGGTGTGTTCTGCAACACTTTTTGGTACTTTTCTGCTTGCACATACATATTTAGCCTAAGTTACATGAGTAAAAAAAATTCTAATCGAAATTTCTAACATATTAAAATGTCACCGCTTGGTTGCATTCACTTGGTATGCCAGTTTACTATTTGTTTCAGCCCATAATAAAACGTTAGAATAAGAACGATGGGACAATTTTTTAAAACTTTTATGTCTAGTTGTACATTAAGTTAAAAGAAAATCTTACATTGTTTGTACATCTGTAGCCAAGCCTGGTAGTCCAACATATAAAGTTGGTCCAATTTCAAATATTTTCTGGAAGTCCATGGAAACTGTCTGCGCCTGTACCCCAAATCTTCTGTCAGCTGCTATAGCAACACAGTCTTTGCCGCGCATTGCCATAATGGCTGCGCCATTGTAGGACATAATACTCTGGAAATAAAAAATGACTGAAGCTAAAATATTCTGCATCGATTGAAGTAGGGTAAATGTTTCCAAGATTTCTTACATTCTTGTAAAAGACCTTTAACATGGGCTGGGAATATCAACATATGCATAGCCATCTATCTAAAGATGGCTATGTGCAAATATAGTAAGTCTATGTCTACGTCAATAATCTGCAAAAGGCTAATAAAATAAGCCCATATGAAGCAGATATATTATTTAACAGTATAGAATATAATATAATTTAAAACCTTACATTTAAAAATAGATCTTGTAGATGCAGATCTATTAGTCTAATCATTTATTCTGGTGACCAGTTCCGATGGTTAAAATAAAGAAATGATGTAATGTTACCATGTGTCTACTTACCAGTTTGTTCTATGTCATCGATCGTGCTAGGTTATATTGTTGAACTCAGCCAAACATGACACTGAAGGCAGTATTCTGAGATTATATAATCGAAATCTAAAAATTTCCCATTTGCAGCCCCTTGGAGATTTCCGAAATTGAACAAAGTAGCGAACGTTGCGATCTTTCAACTTTAGTTCATTGTTTTTCACCACTTTATGTGTAGTATTTTCATTTAGGAGGCGGTCTTATTTGAATGCATCATTTCAGGTCTTTATGAATCAATAGATCAATAAGCAGACTAAAAATTCAATTTAACATTTTCCAAAATATTTACTACCGTTTTCCTTGAAGACATGGTGGTTGGGTGACACATCATAAGTCACATGATCCATACAGTAACTAGTTACGTGATCAGACATGTATCACATGATCAGTCACGTGAGCTTGCAAAATGGACGATCTAAATTTCCCAAAATTCTGCTAAGATCAATATCAATATGTTGTTGCCTCATTGCTGTGTTTGGCTGCGTTCCACAATGTAACCTAGCACGATGGATGACATAGAACAAACTGGTAAGTAGACACATGGTAACATTACATCATTTTGTTATTTTAACCATCGGAACTGGTCACCAGAATAAATGATTTGATTACTACTTTTTTCAAGGCCTGACTGCGTCGCTAACATGCTAAATATAAGAGTTAGCTGACGTTTGGGAGTCTGACTTACCTTCTAAAGGTTAGAACCCGAATCTTAATGAAACCATATCACCTTTGTTCCGTCAACCATGGAGCATTTGCCACAACATCCAAGAGGTAAATCATGGATCGAGAAAATGAATGATTTCCTTGTAAGTTCCGGAAGTTTCAATACGAAAAATTACCGAACATATGTGAAAACCGAATATTTGTTCGTTGTTTTCACGATTTACAGGTTCGTTTGTTCTTCAATGTTTTGGTCTAAATTATAAAGCATCACCAACAGGTCTTACTCTATTAATCGACTAATACAGCAGACGGCTCATATTTCTACGTAGCATTTCATTCAGACCAATAGTGGGAGTGGAGATCACGCAGTTTCGTTCGTTGCGTACTTCACTTGAAATTGGTAATTTTAAATATTGACTACTTCACTTAGCTTGGCGGATGTAGAACATTGCTTAATATTCTTTTAATTTTCACACCAGACATGCTTGGTTGACACGTCAACAAAGTAAAGTTCAAGGGTCAATGCGTTATTTCGTGATAACTACAACGCCTTCCCGGAAGTCAACATTGATGAAAAATGAAAAAGTCGGAAAAGCATTTACGCTAATTTCTATCAAATGCTATGTTTATGCATCATCATCGACGCAACAAAGGTGATATGGTTTCATTAAGATTCGGGTTCTAACCTTTAGAAGGTAAGTCAGACTCCCAAACGTCAGCTAACTCTTATATTTAGCATGTTAGCGACGCAGTCAGGCCTTGAAAAAAGTAGTATATCACCCACTCCAATGTTGTTCATTTTCAAAATGAGGGTTTCATCATTCAATGAGGCAAACTTTGAAAATATGTCTTAGAAAAAATATACCAAATTATGTGTTACATTTCCATATTATCCCATTTTATTACAATAGGAGGTATTGTTTACAGTTGCTAAAAGTGTTCAACTAACATGAAGCAAGGCTAGAATGAACACAAATGCGCAATGTCACTTTTGAACCTAACCTATTGAAAGGGGCAAAAACCCCGCCAATGATGAAGATCAGTAACATATGAAGAAAAATAGCCTTCAATTTCAAACTATATAAAAATTTAAAAAATTGAAAACAAAAATTGACAAGTCATGTAGGGTAATACATTTCAAAGTCGTCAAATCAACCCTACTTACCATGTTTGGTTATAAATATAGCTCCAATATCATAGAAAAATAGTTGAAGTGTATTTTAAAAGATTGTTTCTATGTGGCCGTTGCTTATAAGGAGGTAGATGCAATCGATTTTGTAGATATTTCTGCCAAAATATTTTTGTAATTTCTCTCCTCCTCTTTTGAAGAGCTCAATATCTAACGAGTGACATCCTGAAAAGGTAATGAAAATTAGATGCCACATACATGTAAATATTGTTGTTTTTAGTGCATTTACAAAACGATTATACATCTTGAAGGCATGTCAATCTTTATTCATTTTTTATCGTATTCATTTTGTATTATTGCACTCTGTTCAATTAAATGGGACATGATCTGGTTTTGACAGAACTTTGTTGTTCAGTTTACAGATTTTCTGAACTCAACTTTCATTCACAGGAACTTGTTAGGCCCAGCTATATTAGTATATTTATGTGCATCTGGCATCTGAGTTTACCCTCCTGAAAGAAAAATGGTAACCTGTACCAGAGTGAATAAATAGAGTTCGGGCCACAGGCACCAGAACAGATGTAGTAGAGTTATCATGAAAATCTACCCCACTGCACAGAAAGTGCAGGGGAATTCTTTTCAGGAGAGCTCTACTCTTCAGGTGCCCGTGCCTTGGACTGGTCACTATTTATTTGCAGTTTCGCCTTCATGTGTTCAAAAATAAGAACAATTTTTAGGCTTGAAAGATAAGTCTACTTGGAAGTGTAACTTTTACCATGGACGTATATCAATACGTCCATGCTTTTACAAAGCGTGCCACGCCCACTTCTCTTCACATGATTAATTACATGTTGTAAGCATGCAAAACTTTGATTGTAATCTGGCTTTATAGTGTACATGTATGTATGCTCCAACCAATAGAGACTTTATATAAAGCCCATGGAGAAGAGGGGGAAATAACCTCCTAAAGTAACTTTTTATTTAAGACGATATCTTCATGTAGAGATCTATTTCTATGGTCTATGACTACATACAGTACTTCATATCACTGATTGGCTGAGACTGTTTCTGTTAAGAAATTTTAATGGCTTCCTATATTTGAGTCCCATATTATTTTCAGGTATGCAATCCAATTCATTTCAAACATGGTCTACAGTGTCCATCTTGACATTACTTGAAACGTTTAAGTATATACTAGATGCTGGTCTGGCATGATTAATACATAAATCAATAGAACCTACAACAATGGTTCTGAAAACATTCCTGAGGAAGTTAACCAGAAAGAAGCACATTCCCAAGACACCATCGACCACATTGAAGAAATGTCTGACCACATGGGACATGACCTTAATGAGTGTTGGGATGATGGTAGGAGCAGGGATCTATATACTTGTAGGTGTGGCAGCCAAAGAGCAAGCAGGTAAATTTTTTCCCAGCAGGATTTTATCATTAAATCAATACAAAATTTTCATTTTCAGAGTTATTTATTAATTTATTCAGAAAGTTATATACAAAAAGAAATAAGAATATGTGACAAATACTGACACCAAAAGGCATATAAAAGTATAACATCAAGTATCAAAATATATAATAAATAAATAAATCTCTATGATAACTTGACAAGTTTACATGAGTATCAAAGGTAAATGAGATTCATATAGGCATTTACAAGTATTTACATGTACCAGCATTGTACAATGCGCACATCAAACATGTATGCGCGATGCTGTGCGTTTACGATGTATATGATGTGCCATAATTAACTGCAGAATATGAACTGAATTTTCTGAACTCGGTTCTAAACAAAGTTGGTCAAAATAAGCCACTTTTCTTGTTTTCAAGTGGGCCTGGGGGCAAATGACTTTTCAGGTGGAGCACAAGTACAAGCCCATTTTAAAAATCTCACATAGGTACAGAACGGTTAATTTGCTTTATTGATTTTGTTCAAAAATGAAAATGATCCACAAACACAGCACTTGCTCATATACACTTTTATTTGTTATTTCAGGTCCTGGAATCATTATCTCATTCATTATAGCTGGTGTGGTGTCTCTATTGAATGCAGTATGTTTAGCTGAGATTGCAGCCAGAGTACATAGGGCAGGCTCAGCTTATGTTTACACCTATGTCACCCTTGGCGAGTTTCCTGCTTTTCTGTTAGGCTGGGGGCAGGTGGTTGGTAAGATGCTTTCTAATCTTATTTGGAATTCTTTTGACCCCCTAAACACTTCATGTCTGCTTGTGAAGTAGATAGTGGAGGGAGAGTTTTATATCATAGTACTACATGTATACATGTATGTGTTATGGTACATATGCAGCATAGAAATACATGGAGGTGAGCAATTTTGATGATTGGTAATCTTGGATGATTAATGGATTGGATTAAGAAGCAAAAAATATGAACAGACTCGCATACCGTTTGGTGAGAATAATAATTGTATATTAAACCATATACCTGTATGTTAAATCTAATATGCTTCCATACTACTATAGTAGTGTGAAACATATATGAGGGTTGTCCCATTAGTAAGCATTATGCAGGTCATAAAGCTTAAGCTTGGCAGCACACATCAGTTAATCAATAACTGAATTCTTGCTTTATTTTGCTTATACTAAAGTGCTTTACTTGGTGAGATGAGGTCCTATCATAGAATTTGAAAATGAAAAAAACAACATATGGAACCATATTTTTATTTTCTGTGGTCAGCAGATCAGAAAACCAAAATAGAAATTATTTACAAGCAGTAATTTGCTTTTGGTGAATCTTATATCCCCATAGTGATCTCCTCAATCAATTTTATTTTCTTTATTTTTTGAATTAATATAACTTCAATGAATTCAATAAAAACCTGTTTAAGTCATTTTTAACATTTGCTCTATGCTGGAAACAACTTCACAAAATTGATGTAGAAATTCTGCATCACACTGCTTATCCCTATATTTTGTGCTGCATATTTCTCTCAATTTTGGGAAACTATGGCCTTGGGGTTCACTCTAAATAATTTGGGTAGGTATGTGCAGCACAGGCAATTTTGGCTTAGGGCATAAACGATGGAACCTGGCCAATCTGAGAGGAAAAAACATGGAAAATCTGTCGAGAGAGCCCAGTGAAATCAGTTGGCGAGGTCTGGGACAAATCACCAAAAAAGTGTATTTTGGTTGTAATAATTATATACTAACATTTCAGGAAATTTACTCCCTTTTTAAGTCTGAGAGGATACATGGACACTTTCAATCTTGAGAGGAAATTGACATGGAAAAAATGCTAAAAAAGGGGGTCTTTGGCGCGGCACATGGGTATTGAGAGATATATTGGAGTGAAACCCCCGGGAACTATGGCCACAATATGGTTGCCATAGATCAAATGTGATTGAGGTATTAGTCCATGCTTGTCATTCATTTACTTTATAATTCCAGGTAGTGTGTGTGGCGGAGCTCTGACCAGCAAAACTTGGAGTGGATACCTGGATGCGTTGCTAGGCAACAGAATCCGGACATTCACAGAGGAGAGAATTGGAAACTGGACTTCTGTTGGAGAACCTGTTGCTGAAATGCCAGATCTGATTGCTCCTTGTGTCGTTATCATTCTCTGCATAGTTGTCTCGTTAGGTGCTAAACTTGGAGCGACTGTTAATGCAATACTAGCAGGTTTAAATTGCACAATCCTTATGTTTGTATTTATTGTTGGTGTTATCTATGGAGACATTAAGAATTGGACTCTTGAGGATAAAGGTGGTTTTCTGCCATTTGGATTTGCTGGTGTGGTTACAGCATCCGCCGCGTGTGTCTATGCCTTTGCAGGGTACGATGTTGTTGCTTTAGCTGTTGAAGAGGCGAAGGAACCTCACAAAGCAGTCCCAAGGGCTTTATGTATATCCCTCTTTGCGGTTGCCTTATTATATATAGCAACGTCATGCGGGATGACACTTATTGTCCCATTTGACGAGATAGACAAATCAGCTCCCTTACCTTCAGTATTTGCAACCCATGGGATCCACTGGGCTAAAGTTATTGTATCTGTTGGACCATTGTTTGGACTGACCACCAATATGCTTGGTAATTTTTTCGGACTTGGTCGACTTCTATATACCATGGCAGAGGATGGCCTAGTGTTCCCATATCTACACTGGGTAAATGAGCGCACTGGTGTCCCTGTTGCAGCCATTATGACAAGTGGCGGTATGATGGCAGTTATTAGTACATTCTTTGATCTCGAGAATATCATAGGATTTAGCATAATATTAGGATTATTAAATGGCCTGTTGATCACTATTGGCATGATATTCCTTCGTTTTAGTCCACCATCAACTCACAATGTGACTGCGTCTATCAAGAACACTTACACCAATGGTCCAATAAACTATGAGAGTGATAGAGAATATCTGTTGGAGGAACATGAATCTAAGGGTTCTAAGGAATCGGCTGAAATAGAGACAAATGAGAATGGGGAATTTCAGTTGACTGACTCTGAAGTTCAAGATGCGGCAGGCACGCTAAAACATTCCATGTCATTCATAGGACGTTATTTTAAATGTAAGCCAGGTCAGTTGGTATTTTACACAGTGATGTTCCTTCTTGTATATCTACCAATACCATGTGCAGTTTTGCTTTATGGGAAGGATGTCGTGTTGAAGGATGCTGGGATTGCTAGTGTGTCTTGTATAGCGATGTCACTGCCAGTCATCCTTGCCATGATCATAATCTATGGTCACCACCAGAACCCAGAACCTCTTCAGTTTTTTGTAAGTACACTGTTTCATATATCCATTATGTGTAAAAATATTTTGTGTTAGCTCAACCCGTCTGATGTTTCCTTTGTTAAAATTCTTATATTCTAATTGCATGGGGTTATTGAAAATTATTCAGTTTTATTCAGTAACATTTTTTGTAAAAAGTATTGTATATTTCAGCACTATGTCAACATTTTTTGTAAAAAGTATTGTATGTATATTTCAGCTCTATGTCAACATTTTTTGTAAAAAGTATTGTATATTTCAGCACTATGTCAACATTTTTTGTAAAAAGTATTGTATATTTCAGCACTACCTCAACATTTTTTGTAAAAAGTATTGTATATTTCCAGGTACCCTTTGTTCCTCTTGTACCAGTCCTCTCCATGTTTTGCAACATTGGTCTAATTGTGTCCACGGGGTCCATGGCTAACTTCATAGGATGCTCTTTGGTCATGGGGATAGGTGAGCACATTTCTATCTTGTAATTCATGTGTAGATCATCCTTGTGAATTTGCTATTTGGAAGTTTTCTATACAAATTAAGAAAAAGCTGGTACATGTTTTAATCATCAGTTACTTAAAACAAGCCTACCTTACCATCTTAAACATTATAATGATTGAATGTATTGTACCATTGACAGTAGGAATAATGATGTCTGACAATATGAATGCTATGTGAGAAATAGATCACATTCACTTAATATTTGTTTCTTTTCAAACTTTTGTTCGTTTGTTAATGGAGCTGTCAGACTTAGGCTGTGTGGGCTCACCATTCACCACCGTGTCAATACTTTGGGGCACATTGTGGGGCATGGTGTGGATACATGGTGGGCAAAACAAATAGTTTTACTGCAACCTATCTCCAAACACACCAAATGCAAAAATTAATTAATTGATTGAAAAATTAATGCCCAAAATTAGTCACAGGGTTGTGAACGGTTTATCCACACAGTTAATGTGACAGCTATTTTACCTACATGTACATGTATTAGGCTTAATAATGACACTTCTATATATTCTATTGCAGGTGTGATCATGTACTTGGCCTATGGAATAAGAAAGAGCAAAGAGAACAACACAGACAGGGCATATGCCCACCTGGAACTGGAACTTGATGAACTGGATTGAGAAAAAAAATTAAGTTAAAATATTAAATGAGAAATCTTGTTAATGCATGTTTATACTAAGGACACTGGACGGATATTTAAGTGAGAATATTAAATGAGAATATTAAATGAGAAAACTGGCACAGTACTTTAAACCAACTTATAACATACCTATGATGATGTATAGTGCAAAGTGTACACAAGACAGCGGGCCAATATAAGTTTTGAAAAGCCCGCGCCCGCTAACTTTCTGATTGGTCAAGGCGCTGACGTCATAACCAATCAATTGAAGATAAAACTGCGCGATCAATTTTTCTAAACTCATTTCAATCATTTTCAAACCATTTGTTTGTCAATTCTATAAGAAAACGGTACTCTCTGACCAGTCTACATAATCATAGGTATGTTATAAAAATCTTGAGTCTTTCACATTTGCTCTTATTTTAGTGAAGCTATTATTCAAATATTTTGTTAAATTTAGGGGAATATATGTGCATCTTTTACGAGTAATAGATGCTCAGAGGACAATGGGGAAAATACTTTTGAAATTGATTAAATTCACTGTCGAGTTTATAATTCAGTAACATTAGGGAGAAGGGATTTTAAATTACAAAGAGTATGAACTATCTTCTTATCAGAATGAGACTCAGGTTCATAAAAAAATAATTAAAGGACCTCATTCTGAATGAGGGATATTCATTCTTCTAAATGATCACAAGGTGAGCCAAAAAACATCCATATATTTTTTCATTAGACAATTATTTTTTCAATAATGCATATATTTTTATTAAAATATTTTTGCTGGAGATGAGAGGGTCAATTCAATGATTGTCTCTGAAATGGGATAAAGAAATATTCAGTGGTTTTCTAAATATTACCAGGGGGGGGAGCGATTTTACCAAGGGGCAGCTTTTGCTAAGGGGGACCTTTTTGACATTTTTGGCAAAAAAATCATGGGAAAAGAGCTCAGAATGATGAAAAACTGAATGATTTTGAAAGAATTTCAGGCTGCTCCCCCTGGCTATGGGCCTGAAAACCTAAACATATAAGCTATATGGTTGTAATTGTTTATATTTATGATAAAAATTGAAACATCATTATCGTATTGAGGCGAATTAGGAAGATAAGATGGACTGGTTCAACATCAAGAAAAATGGGAGTGGTTGGCCGAATTCTTGGTGAAAAATGATGTTATCTTTTTGGCTAGGAAGATTAGGAAAGTATTTATCTGACATTGAAAAAGCAATTCCTTTATGTGTGGGCTTAATCAAGCACCTTACTGTTCTCTTACCACAAATAAGGATAAGGCCTCAGAATAACTTTCACTGTATAGTCAGATTTTCAGGCACCTTTTTTGCTTGATGCTGAATCTTCATCTTATTTATTTGTCTTGATACTTCAAATACATTTCTAAAACAATGAAATCTGTAAAGTTGAACACATAGGTGTAAAGCAACACCTATGTTGGTGGAACACTTTCCAGACTCAGAAGACAAACTTACTTTATGAACCTCTATAAGTAGAACACTACTTCGTAGAAGTACAAGGTGTTCCAATTTAACATGTTTTACTGTATTCTATTTTTGTCTGAATACTAGTATAATTTCAGAATATAATGAGGACCCTATCCCATATGTCTGCCTTACAGACTTAACACTATATCAATCGGGTATTACAAGCAGGCATAATATCAGTGTAAAATTGTCAATTTGAATATTATCTTGAAAACTATATTTTCATATAAGCCAAGAGTCTTTGTGTATCTCTATTTTTCACAAACCCCTGAAGATTTATCTCCCCCATTTTTGGAACAATTGCAGAGGTGAGGTCTGTATGAATAGATTCTATAGAACCTGCATTTTCAAAAAAGTTATATCAAAATAAAAAAATGGATGTTTCTTGGCCCACCTTGTAATACTAATCAAATGTAATCAACACAAAAATATGTTATGTCAGATGCACTGTGATATTTTATGATCATTTGGTCGTATGATCAGATAACTATTGAAATAAATTCAATTAGAATTAACAAAGAAATAGTTGTTCATGTGTTCTAATAAATTGAACTGAATAAATGAATATCTGTATACAGTAGTGTATATCCATATCTGATAACTCAAAATGGCAGTGATCAAAAACTAGGCCAAATGAATACTTTTATTTAGGTCTACTGTCAAGTTCAGCCAAAATCTCCAAAAGTAAACATCTTTTCAAATCCGCTTTTCAAATATTATTTAGAAATTAGGATTTATGGGAAACATTCTTTTTTGGAAATCCAACATTTTACACCCGTACCCTATACTGGAACTTTATATTAAGACTTAAACATTGTATTTTGATGACTCTCTGACATTTTTTTAAGTTAACATGGCTGAAACTTCCTAAATTACAAGAGACCAAAGCCGGTTACTCAGTGCAGTTGGGCCATGGTCCTCTATCATAAACTAATCATAAACTACTAGTAATCCACCTGAAATGTACAAAAGTTTTGCATTTTCCATATATTATTGTACTCTGGTCTTTTGATTGTTTTTGAGGTTTGCTTTAAATACCACAAAACAATTGCACTCGAAACAGCAATGCAATATGCAAGTTTGAAATTCGCGCCAATAAACTTCAATTAACGTAACGCCATCTATCAATCAGGTGAATAACCAGTGACCTACATTCCGCCATTACAAAATCTACCTACGAAAATGTTTACTCGAAATTTACAGCTGTTATCTCTCGTTTTACTTGCTCTACATTTCCGAAATGTACGCACACAAACAGGGAATATATACAAAATCTTGGGAGAAATTAAAGATGCGAAGAAGGTACGTGAAATAATAGAAAATGAAGTTGAAAAGTATTTTTTTTCAAATTTTTTTGAATTTTTTCCAAACATTCCAAATCAATTACACATGTATGTTTCAGGTAGATTTACAGTGTAGTGATTAAGTCCTGTTTGTTGTGGTGTGGATTTTGTTTAGATTGACAGAACAGAATGTTTGAAAATGTAAATTTGATGAGCTTGATGTCCAGTCCCCTCATACCACAGTGCGAACTCCTATGCAGTGTCTCGGTATAGACACTGCGGCGGGCAGATTATGGAATCCCCAAAATTTGGGGAAGATAGTCCCCCTTTTTGTCTCAGATGTACTTGTTTTTCACACAACTTATAAAATATATGTTCTTTTATGTTCACCAATACAGTGCTGGTATTTATTAATTGATCAGTCGTTTAATTGGCATATTTTCTTGAATTTTAACATTTAATGTCCCAAACTCCCACAAACTGCAGAAAAGTATACCCCATAAATCATATTTACCAAAATGAGTGTCTCCAAGGCTTCACACCAGCGTATGCATAATGCATTTTTCACGAGTTTGAGCTGAAATTTCGCCAAAATGAAGTAGGCTAAGGGTAGTCTCTGCCAGGTTTGTTTATTGTGGTAAGCTTGTAAGTGCTCGGAAGCAAATAATTCAGGTGCGCAAAATAATCAAATAATCTAATTGGTCTAAACTTTGCTGCACATGCGCACAATGTGTGCCATGTTTTTTCTAGTGATTTCGTTTCGTTTCATGGAGTTTGCGTTTCAGTGTAACTTCCGCAAAAATGGCCGACCATGGACAGAATTAACAGGTAAAATCACTTCGAAATTTCAAGAGAACTTTTTACCTATAATTGCAAAACTTTTGTTTTATTTGTGCATTCTATCTATCAGATAAGAGTTTCAGGGGTATGTAGGCAAATTCATTTTGGTAGGAACACTCTTTTTAGTTTGAAAACGCACCCTATATTATTATATATCAGCACTGTAATTATTTTGTCAAAATATTCCAAAATCAATGAAATATAAGAGCAAATCCCCGCGGAAGGAATTCTGAGTAAAAGTTGTGTTGATAAAAGTTTACCGCACGTGTTGTTTATTAGTTAATACGCGCAATTCAACCAATGAAATTGTCTAAATTTTACAATCACGCGACCTGTGCATGGGACTAGAACCAATCACGTCAGTTGTTTATTACGATGTTACCATGCTTACGGTGAGACACCTGCCCGCCGCAGTGATGTATCACTGCACGGGAGTTCGACCACAGTGAGCACTTATTATAGATTGCAGTAAAAAATCCCATTGGGGACCATTATCACGTTTCATTTCATAATATATTCATGGGCACAGATCTAGCTCAGCGAAGCAGTTCATTGGAGTCTTGTCTAGCTTGCCGTTACAAAATAATGATACGGTGACCACACAGAGAGCTTTTTACATATGATTTGTATCGTAAAAATGGATATAACTCTCCAAGGGATAACTCCAGATGATTTGAAAATTCTGCTTCTGGGTAGGTCAAAACCACCTACAAAGAAAAATTGCCCAGATTCAGCCTCCAAACCAAGTCTATCCAAACCACGACCTCATATCTATTTATAGATCGCCGAGAAATGTTAAACCTGTTTTTTCTGACAAGTTACAAAATATGAAATTTGAATAAACAATACCACTGATCAAAGTCCCTTGCATAAGAAAAAAATTATCTAGAATTTTCCAGACTTCATTCTATCATATTAGATGTTAGATAGATGGTGCTGACTATGCTTCATACATACACTTGCACCAAATTCATTTCACTCTTCAGTTGTCTCTAGCTCATGTCATGGCAGACTCAATAAATCTGACGAACATATATCTAATGTTCTAATCTATCTAATATCACAATGTTCTTCCCGCGAAGCTGAAAAGGATTTTATTGTTATCAAAGCATCAATCAATGTTTTTAGAACGAAGAGATGGTCTTGGTACTTAGATAATCGATGCTCCCATTTGAAAATGAATTGGCTCAGATCTGATGTGTTACATATAACCAAATTGTCTTATATATTGACAGATTTCAATATCATTTTGTGTTTCAAGCAATCTAGATATATTCAAATGTTTGAAAAAATCTTGCAGGATGTTACGAGTGGGATATAAGTCTCAGTTCAGAATTAATTAGAGGAGAAAGGGTCAGTTGAAACGCTGGAGAGAGGAGAGGGATGCATAAGAGGATTTAGTAAAATAAAAGTATTATTCCACATATTACGAATCAAGAATGAAAAATGAATCATCTCTGAAATCAAACAAATGAGTCACTCAACTGTTGTTTACATGAATCGTGTATGGGATATTTGCTTATTTAGGCATATTTAAAAATTAGAAGACTGATCATGAAATATTATAGAGTCAAATTAATACTGTTGCCCCCCCCCCTTATACATCTGTATTCACTTACGTAAGTTTATCTTAATAAATACCCTGGCTGAAATCTCTTTTTGATGATTCATAACAACTCAGGATGTCATTTTCTAAAACAAAATTAAGGGAGGGGGGACATTGTATGTCACCCTATGCAGACAGAGCCTGTGGGAAATATTGGGTGCGGAGCAAATGAGCGGAGGGTGCGGAGCTAACGGTCATTTTTGAATTTAAATTTGGGATATTTCTGAAACTAAGCCATTTTGGGACTTCAAATATACCAAGATATGTGTATTTGACACCAAATATCAATACAATTGTGAAAATAGCAGCGCAATTCATTCTATAGCGACGCAGTGTGCCTTAAACCTTTCCCAGACCTATATATTTTGAAATTATCCTTTTAATACTGAGTCCCCAGCATTCATAAAAAATGGTGTTCAAGGTACACTATCTATACAAATTATTTTTGCGGAGGAGCTCCATAAACGTACCTCCGCACCCAATATTTAGAGGGGGCTCATATCTGAAGAACATTTCCGAATTTTTATAAAATCACACAGATACTGCCTGGCTTCCAAGATGCAAAAATAATTTGCATGGGTAGTGTATCTTGAACACCATTTTTTATGAATGCTGGGGACGCAGTATTAAAAGGATAGTCTCAAAATATATAGGTCTGGGAAATGTTTAAGGCATAATGCGTCGCTATAAAATGAATTGCACTACTATTTTCACAATTTTATTGATATTTGGTGTCAAATACACATATCTTGGTATATTTGAAGTCCGAAAACGGCTTAGTTTCAGAAATATCCCAATTTTAAATTCAAAAATGACCGTTAGCTCCGCACCCTCCGCTCATTTGCGCCGCACCCAATATTTCCCACAGGCTCTGTCTGCATAGGGTGTATGTGGATCCTGAGGTTGAGGCTCAGATGAGCTCAAGGTATCTCATATTTGATATTTATGTACTGTGTAGCATTTCAAGCATATATACAGTAGTTCTTATTTAATTGGGTCCTCATTAAAAATTAGAAAAAATACAGTACAGTGTATACAAAAATCTAGTTGTATTGATTGTGTCCTTATACTATATATTTATTTCAGTTTATTTTGACATTACAAATTCAGAGTCTAGACACAATACTCATAGTTATGATATCCCACTGTTCTAATTATGTATGGGTGTAATCCAATTTATACTAATATTTGAATCAAGTATCATATACTCAAACCATATCATCACCATGACATGATTTAGATTTTTGAATGAATGAGTTTCAGCCGTTATTTTTATACAAGGGCAACATATATGGTCTTAAAGGATCTCAATTTGCTTAACTGCAGTAAAACCTGTGAAATGGAACACCTCTATAAGTAGAACACATTTCAGAGTCCAAAGACCAACTGGTTTAATGTTAATGAACCTCTTTATAAGTGGAACACTTCTCAAACTGAACACTTTTAGAGGTACCAAAAATATTTCACTTGAACCAGTTTCACTGTATACATCTTCATATTCCTCTCTTATTAGTTACATTCTGAAAAAGAATATTTTTTGATGCTCAAGTGTAACATTGACCCGAGATGACCTACTTCATCAATGCCATATTTATACAATCTAGGATACATTTTTTACTGTTTACAACCACTCTGCCGCTTCTTTCCTTTGTGTGTATTGACTCAGTTTTATTGCTTTTGAAAGCCATTCAAACTGAATAGGTGTAAAACATATTAAAAAAGCAACGGTTAGAATGTGGTATGCAATGCATATTGCATTCCTTAATAGTAGTTTGTAAAGTCAAACTGCACTGTAAAAACACTATGTGGCTGTGCATTGATAGGTATATAGGGTTGTTTATGGAAACCTTGAGGCAACTCATTTGTTTACTACTTTTACAATTTTAATTACTTTTTACATAGTATATGTATGTACATGTAGGTTAAGTGCCATTGGGGATCTATTTGGTTATTCAAGAGTTTCGAATGTGCAGGGCTTGAAACTTATATTCATTAATTGCTATGACCAGTCAAAATAATAACTAAACTTTTAATTCCCACCAGTAGTGATGTTAGTGATAGAATAATGGCTTGGAATCACCAAATGATTTGGTGTCTATATTCTCTTTTATACACACAAGGAAATCCATGAAATTCTGACCAAGGCCCTGATCATACAGTATCTATTACATATTCTGCAGCTAGTGCAGTACACTGTATATTGCTCAATCTATTTCAATCAAACTTTTTCTTCAAAATATGGTTCTGAGTCATCTTCCAGCAAAACCAAGAAGTGGTAGGTTTATATATATGTCTGTAGTTCATTAGCAGCAGGCAACAGGCGATTTTCACCAGCTGTTTTCACAAAAGTGCCTGTTGTTTTTAGGGACTTTTCAACTTTTCCATTTTAGATTTATGATTTCCATTAATTTTGCCTGTTGTTTTCATTTATTTAGTCTGTTGTGAGAAATTTTAGTGAAACCCCTGATTGTAATCAGTTTTATAGTGCAATTTGAGTAGAAATTTTTAAATCAATATCAAAGCAAGGAATTTTTGAATATTTTGGTTCATATTGTACACAAACTGTTGTTACACATTTTTCAATTTCATTTATTTTTGTGTCTCAATGTATCCTGTTGTTTTATTCTATGAACTTTTGTAGTATTTATCATTTCCCGAGAGAAAGGACAGTAATGAATCTGGTTACTGGTCACTAGTATTTTACAATATGTCACCACACTTTGATTTGGCATTCTGCAGTTGGCAGTAAAAATGAGCAACTTACAAGGTGGTGACATTTTGTCATGTTAATGTGTTATGTTTGATATTGTGTAATACATGTGTATTGTCTTGCAGATCAAAGAAATGGTTGACAGAACCAATATAAAGCAAACACTTCAAGGCACCCAGCAGTATATGTTCTTCGCACCCAATGATACAGTTATTGCAAGCCTCTCAAGCCAAGCTCGACAGAGAATCAATTCACTTGGAGGGGAAGACCTTCTAGACAAGATAAAGTACCATATGGGTAAGTCATAAACTCTTTAAAGGGAGCTATGCTGGAACAGATCACCTTGAAAATATGAAAAATTGTATTAAGGCAATTACACATATAGCAGTTGTGTCAATTATACATGTAGATCATTTTCAAAAAAGTATATTGTAATACTCTACTTACCGTATCCGCCGTAATAAATGCCCATGGCGTTTTTGAAATTCCCATTGTAACCCATTACAAAGAGCGCCCATATATGAGACATTATTGGAGAGAATACGGTAAAGATCGCTAAAATAAAGCAAGAATCTAACTATATTGACAGTGATTGAAGAACTCCCCGGCAGAGCCCCTCGGGGTGAAGGAATTGTTTTCCGCAATTATCTTCAATATTTCCAATATAGACTGTTAGATATCGATCTAAAGTTATACCTTGTTTTTTTATTTAATTTGATGACATGTTAAAGTTGAGAAATCTTCAAAAGAAACAAGAAAGTTCACGACCTTGACATGACCTTGACGATCGCTGAGTTAATAAAATGTCGAAACAAATCTCTGAAACCTGATCATTTCCTTCATTCATTATGGACTATTTGAGATAATATTAGCTAAAGTATGATGTGGGAAGCACCCACTGATAGATATTCATCGGGAGGATGCATCGATTTACAAAATGTGTCATGTTTTCTTCATTTTAGTGTAAGTACTCTTTTATCGCCCACTATATTTCTTTGGAAATTTGATTTTTTCTGATATATTCGTTAATACTTGGTCATTCCTCGATATTTATTGAACTCTGTGAAGTGGGGTGGCTGCTTATAAGGGCTGGGCTCTTATTACGGCGATTACGGTATGTATGTATTTTTTTGATATTTACACACTTCATTGTTTATTAATTTTCCTCCTTGACATTGCTTGAAGAGTCTTTTAAGTTTTATTAACATAGTGTTTTGACACAATGTGTTAATGTCAAGTTGATTTTCAAACAAATGTTATAGTAGGATGGACATAAAAGTCTTACTTGTATTACCAGGGCCTTGGCAATGATGAATTCACAATAAAGTCGAAGTATATTGATGCCAATGAACTTGTTATAATATAAAAGAAAGTACAAATGTGCCACCATATTCTGATATCTCAAAAAGTTACTAAAATTTGATTTTTAGAAATTTGGAAACATTGCATAGTACATGTATAGTATTATCTACTGTAAACCCTGTCTAAACCGAACACCCCTTGGACTGGCCTAAAGTGTTTGGATTAGCAGGTGTTCACATTTTAAGGTTCTATAAACATGTAAGTCAGTGAGTGGGAGATAACATATTTGGGAAGTGGTCACAGGTGGTGTTTGGATTTGAGAGGTGTTCAGATATAGAGGTTTCACTGTACTTCATTTCTTAGGAAGTTTTTATCCCAATCTGAATGAAAGGATTATCTTTTATTCAGAGCTAGTGTAGCCCTAAAAAACTTTGAATATTTTATCAAATATCTCCTCATAAAGTAGGCCTATAAAAGGTTTAGGGTAAGATGTAGATCTCTTTGATAAAATATAATAATTGTACACTTTGTGTTTCAGTTCTAATAGGTACGAGTACAGGGGAAGCAGGTACCATATTAGACCAGGATATGAAAAGGAGTATGGCCCGTAACTCTCCCCCACTTTTCTTTGCACGAGAAAATTTCATGGTAAGTGAATAAAAAGTAATGACACAATTATACTAAGTGGGTGCAAAATTGTCATTTTCACAAATAGACCAAAATTGATGATCTATGATTTTTCTATTTTTCAAGTGGGTGGAAATTGATTTTCAGGTGGGTGTACACCTTTTTTAAAATCTCAGGTGGGTGTTATGCCCACTTGCTTCAATGCTGGGGAGATCACTGGGAAGTATTCTTTATGCAGCATTCAAAATGAGATCACCTCCCACGCAGACATGGGTGGGGAATTATAGCCTGTCTAATTTCTTACCCATGGGGTCATGTAGAATATTCTTGCAGAAATCGTCCCTCATTTCATTTTCTCCAATGACCTGGCGTGTACATGGTGTGACTATTTTGACCTTCAAAGTGCAATATTTAGCACTGTATGTCTTGTTCTTTATGACAGGCATTTTGCATCAATGGTCAGCATCTGTAACACATAGTTACAACTATTTGTAACCAACGTTATCATGCACAAAAATATGTCACTTTAAAGGCCTGTTATAGAGGGGCATCCAGTGGTAATTGGAAAAAATCTAAAAAGTTGTCTCCGATCTAATCATTTGAATAACGTTGTATTTCTAGGGCAAGGATCACCAGTATGTTAATGGTGCTAGGATTGAAAAGATCTGGAAAGCTAGCAATGGGGCAGTATATGTGATAGACAGGATATTCTGGGAAGAGCCCAGTAAACAGTCAGCATGGGGATTCCTTACCAAGCCAGATGTACCAAACGTGCTGGATCAGTTCAAGTAAGGTTCTGTAAATAAGGTATTCTAAAAGGCCAGGTATGGTAAGGAAAACGATTTAAGCCATGCCACATAGTCATATATTTGCCCATGACTATAATATGATACCCTATAAATTTTTCAATAAATGAATTTTATAAATACTACATTCTTCATTAAATGATATTTTTTCTCTGCAGGTAATCAGGGGGCCATTAACAGAAACTTCATAAAGTTACAAATTCGTAAATCAATTGTTGTTACCATGGATATAATGATGTCACAGTTAGAGAACAATGGACTTTACGAATTCTTAACTTCATGAATTTTCTGTTAATGGCGCCCAGTATAATAAAAATATGAATCCAACTCTCCAAAATAATTTTTACCTTAGGATCTCATATCAACACATATCCCTTGTTATTTAAGTACTGTAGGGTCCTATTTTGATATAACTGTGTTGGCACACCATACCTGGTCTTTCGAAACAATTACAGATGTATCTTAAATAGACACTTATACGCACATGTACAATGTTGACTAAAATGGGACAGTAAATGGCAAATCAACCAATGATAATGCTCAAGCCTATAAAAACATTCAAATTCAAAACATTCAGTTCAAAACATAGCATTCTATGAGGAATTTAAAATGTTTTTGCGTCAAAAGTGACTCAATATAATGTATCATGTAACTTTTGAATTTGTAAGATAAAATGAGTCACTACTTGAAATATGCTACGCTGTTATCAATATTTAATTATTTATCGTTTGCCTAATTCATGATGTTAAATACACTTTTTTGTTAATTTTCAGTAAATTTGAGTCATTATTCACCAAATTAGGTGGTTTTGAGGATCTCGAGCAAAAGTTGAATGATATTGATGATAAACTTACACTGTTTCTCCCACAAGACGACTACATTCCATCAGAGATCATGACAAGACTCGATCGAGAGGGTTTAGCTAGGAAAGATGTAAGTTGAAAGTTTTCAGTAAGTCTGCATTATGGTGCCACTTTTATATCATTTATTATGTCACCACCACCTATGGTGACATATTGTGAAGTCTCCAACTTTTTGTGGTTGGTTTTTGGTATCGCAGCTGGTGTCTGATGGTTGATGTTCATCAATTGGTGTTCGGTTGATGTTCATCGATTGGTGTTCGGTGGTTGGCAACTGTAACAAATGGCATGTGGTGACATTTTGCATGTTAATGCCTTGTTAAATGATTGAAGCTCATGATTCAAAACATTGTGAATGTTTTGTGAATGAATTTTTGTATCCAGACTTTGATTGAGTCCAAATTTAAGGGCTAGGATATATATATTTCTTTTATTGACAATTGTATCAAAACATGTAGGTAGTAAGCTAGCACCCAAAAATGTATTAGTTTGTGAACAAATTGAAATTACTTGTTTCTTATGTATTTTTATATGATACTTCAGAAAATGTTTGTCTGATGCGCCGTATCCGGGGCGAAAGTTGTCAAATTGGCCTTTTCGACCCTTAAATGGAAAATTACAGGGGGTACTTTATCATCATTGAATAAATCATTCAGTTGGTCTTCAATCATCATAATAATTTTATGGGGAGTTGATTGGATCATGCTGAGGTAGTATGTTAAGTTTCAATCACCTGTCACTCATGGTTGCCATGGAAACCACAATTTTCATTGAAAAATCCTTAATTTTGGCAAAATCTATACAGGTACATAATATAGAATGTGGATTATTTTTCAAATCAACAGATATAAGAATATTTTAGCACACCCAAAATGGCCAGGGAAGTTCAAGCTTTTGTTTAAGCATAAAGGATATTGCAATTTATATAATTGGTAAGTGTCAAAGACCATACTACTACATAAGTGATCAAAAGTGGGCGTCGCACCCATAATTGTAAATGATGACCATTCTCTGAAAAGACAGAGTTTAACTTGACTTTTGAGATACACTTATATTGAAGTTCTTTGAATATACCTAATATCATGCATTTCTGGTAAATAATGTACATATAAGTGTAAAAGTTGTTGCATGGGGAGTGGGGGGGGGGGGGTGGTAGTAACAGAATTTGGAGGGGCAGAGCTAATCAGCCTTTGTATAATTCTCATTTATATAATTCTTGATTTTCAAATGTTAAATCTTCTGGACCATACCAATACATAAATGATCAAAAGTAGGCATCATCACCTTCATAATAGTAGATGATTACCATTCTCTATAAATACAGGGTTCAAGTAGAATTTTCGAGATAGAGATATATTTATCATTTATACTTCTTTGATTATACTTAATATCAACCATTTCAGGTAAATAAAGTACCAAATATTCCATTCTATTGAGGTGAATACATGTTTATCTTTCCCTCAGTATATTTCCCGCAGTATCTCAATATATAGGATAATACAGTAAGTGTCCAAGACCAAACAATTACATAAGTGATCAAAAGTGGGAGTCGCCCCAACAACAGTATATGGTTCATTCTCTACAAACAGAGGTCAACTTGAGTTTTAAGATCATCCAGTGATCTCCCCAGGATTTCTTCTCGGGTGGGTACAAAATTTTCATTTTCACAATTCAGACCAAAATTGGTCAAAATATGCCAATTTTTCATGAACTTTCTCACTTTCAAGTGGGTGCATATGGATTTTCAGGTGGGTGCAAACCTATTTTCAAAATCTCAGGTGGGTGCTGCGCCCGGGGGGGGGTTCACTATATATAAACCTTGACGGGGATCCTCGGCGCATGTGGGGTACCTTTTTCAACGTTTGGTATGACAATGGACCCATATTTTAGGATTTGGTATGGGAATGCCCGGAAATTTCTGACTTCTGAGGTATGGCAATGGTCGGACTTTTGCTCTTCTGGTATGAGAATGGTCGTTGTAGATACGTTACCTAACATTTGTGGTATGGCATTGGTCCAGTAGTTGCAAATTTGTATGACATTGATCCTATATTTCATTTACTTTGAATTAAGGTATGGCATTGGTCCCATATTTGGACATTTGGTATGGCATTGGTCCTACATTTTGACATTTGGTATGGCATTGGTCCCATAATTGGGCATTTGGTATGGCGTTGGTCCTATATTTGGACATTTGGTATGGCATTGGTCCTATATTTGGACATTTGGTATGGCCTTTGGGCGTTATTTTGGTTGGTATTGGAACATATTGAAATTTGACAGATTGATATGGGAACATATTGATATTTGAGGCTTCAGCCTAGGACCCCCGTCGAGTTTTATATACAGTGAACCCCCCGGGGTGCTGCGCCCACTTGCTTTAATGCTTTGAAGATCACTGTCATCTATATGTCATCTATACTTCTATTATTTAAGAAATATAGATTGAAGAGCAGGTGTTATATTGACAAATACACTCCACATGGCTAGGCAAGGGAGTGAGGGGTTCGAAAGCTTTTGTACCTAGCCCTAAGGGGTCATTGTCAATATCACGCGTGCTCTGAGGTACATGTATATATTACAATTCAAACATGAAAACTCCCCAAAATTTTTTGAATATTCAACTTATGGTCTGCCATTACTACAGCCCTCTTGATGTCACACATTACTCGTATTACCAAGGGAAGTGTTGACGAATATACCCCAGGTAAAATGTTGACTTTGTTCACAGTTTATAGAAGGCGTGAATACAGTCATGTTCAAATATAATTTATATAAACCATTTCTCATAAATATGTTTAGTAGTATAGTTTTTACATGGGGTGAGGCTGGGGAAGTGGTTACAGACCTGGGAGGGAGCTCTACTCCCTCCCAATTATTCTGTTACTACTCCCGTCTAGGGCCTGGCATAATATATGCAGCCTTCATACCTTCCCTAGATGAAGTAAGTGCCATGCTTTGAAGGGGCAGGAAAGCACATTTTAAAAAGATGGAGCACCATATTGAGTCCCAGCTGAATGACTCTCAAATCTGCAAGTGTTTAGTGGTATTTTCTCTTAAGAGATTGTCGATATATCAATATCATGTGATAAATCAAAAGAATGAAAATGATCAGACTATGAGAAGGCTCTCCCATTGTTATTGTATTGCCATCACTAGACATTCTGATACTCATAGCATCCTTCTGTCTTAACTGCCGAGTATTCTGGGAGAACTTATGAGAACAAGACAACGCTTCAACTACAACTGTAATTTATTTCAGAACTAACCAATGACGTCACTAATATGATCACGTGACTTAAAGGGACACTATTGTACATAGATTTACAGTATATATTATGACATCTTCCCCTTAAACAGAAAAGTTATACATCACATACATTTGCCTAGTGTGCTTGCTATTGCAATTTAAACTTTTCACAGTATTATAGATGTCACTACTTCACTATGTAGAATATACATGTTTAGGTATACAAATCAATAAAATGTTACTCAATACAACTTTTTACTTTCTTATGTTACTTACAACATGTACAATAATAACATAACTGAATCTCATGTTATAAAACTTCAACTATGACTTAAACTGATATTCCCTAAAATATCAATTATAAAAATGTCTCTAAACATTTACATGTTTAATAACCAGTTTTAATTGTCTCTGTATCTTACTGGCTTCATAACTGAAACACCACTTCTCAATCTGGTTTGAATAGCTCTACTTGGAGTATTAACTTTTGAAATAGGAGAATGTATTTTCTGAGATACCTGAGAACCAGTAGGCTTAATATCAGAATGACTTGCATTTATAGATTCTGAAGTATCAGAAAAATTCCTTGTATTTTCTCCCGTATTCATATCAGTATTGTATTGACTAGGTTCAGATGTAACCACTGGATCTGGTATTTTATGATATGTTTTAGCTAAATGCTTTCGGTTACGTCTGTAAATAGCACCATCGTGTTCCACAATATAGGATCTAGGAGTAGTACCCTTGCTTACAACTTTACCAGGTTCACTCCAGGTAGATTGATGATCTAGTTTGATTCTTACATTATCACCTGGTTTCAACTGTGGTAAAGCTCTAGCTGATTTATCATAGTATTTACAATATCTCATTTTTGCATTTTCATCATTTGATCTTAACTTGTCATAGTTGAGAGGATCAGGATTTAATTTGCTTGAAATAGTTGGCAATGGAGTTTGTATTTGTCTCCCAAGCATCACTTGTGCTGGAGTAAAACCTGTAGATGCAGAAGGAGTTGCATGATGTGCCATAAGAGAGAGTAAAGGATCTTCTGTTTTCAATATGTGCTTAGCAGCCTTCACAAATCTTTCAGACATCCCATTAGCCTGGGGGTAATGAGGACTACTAAATACATGTTTGAACCCATAGTCTCTGGCAAAGTTTTTGAACTCTAAACTTGTGAACTGCGGTCCACCATCAGTTACTAAGGTTTCACATACCCCAAAGCGAGCAAATATTGCTTTCATTTTGTTTATGATCTTGCTAGCTGTAACACTTCCTGGAATATTCAAAATTTCCATAAATCTTGAAAAATAATCAACTATCACCAGGAATTGCTTAGCTGCATATTGACACATGTCAGCACCAATTCTTTGCCACGGTCTATCGGGTAATGGTGTTGAAATCAGAGGTTCTTTTACATTAGTTGGTTTATACACTTGGCAATGTTCACAGTGATTTACCATTTGTTTTATTCTTTCACTGATACCTGGCCACCAAACACTAGCTCTGGCACGCTCACGACATTTATTTATGCCAAAATGACCTTGATGAATTTTACACAATATATCATCATGCAATGACCTTGGAATCACAATTCTATCACCATAGAGTAATAACCCATCTTGCACAGACAGACTAACACGTGCTTCATAGTATCTTTTAACATTATCAGGAATTTCACTGTAATACTTTGGCCATCCATTCAATGTATAGTCAATAACCAATGATAATTCACTATCTTGAATTGATTTTTCACGTATTTGATCCATACGATTTGATGTTACCGGTATTCCAGACATCACTGAGCTAACATGATATTCAAC